CTAATCTTTGAGTTTCCGCTGCGCGCAAGCCGCTTCTCCCCGTATTTCAACCAGCAGTACCCGTCGTCGGGAAGGGCCCCCTGGGGAATCCGCCGCCGGAGCGCAGCCGCAGCCGCCGCGGCGGACAGAGGCGGGGCGCCGCCGACCGCCGCCGCCGCCGGCACTCCCGGCGGCGCTCCCGGCGGCGTTGTGAATCCGTTCGTCGCGGTCGGCACGGGGACGCCGCCGGGTCGTCCATCTGCAGCGGCGCCGCACGATGGCAATGGCGGCGGCGTCACTGACTGCCGCTGGTCAACGCCGAACGAGCCGCCAACCGCCATGACTTGGTTATTGCTTCGATTATTTGTGGAAAAAGGTACCACAGGAGACACGGTGGTATCGTTAGTACTACTACAACTATTGATGCTCCCAACGTTCCAATGTGGAATATTAGCCGCCTGGGGTGCTGTGAACAATGCAGGGCGAATCGTTGTGCTAGCTGTGGGAGATACACTGTCCGGCGTGGGAGTTTCGCTAGGTACGCCGCAAAACGTGCCGGTAAATGCGGCGTGCGCTGAAGCGGCGGCTATGGCGGCATCTGACGTCACGTGAGTGTCCTGGTCTGGCACGCGTGGCATCATGGTAACCGCATCATCTGTTTTTGCAAGTCGTTCTCCTAGCGCGCATGCTGCGGCACTGAAACTGCTAAAACTATTACCACTACTATGGATCTGAATATTTTTTAGGAATTTTGTTTCTGCGCAAGATTGGTTATCACGGGTTCGCTGTCCTTGCATCCCTCGTAACCGGCGCTGAAAACTGCCGATACACGTTATTCTACCGCGTGAATTTCCGGGCGGCATTCGCGTGTCGCCACAGGCTCGTTTTGGGAAAGCCCGCTAACTAACAGGCTGGCACACCACTGCTCGGACTTAACTGCTGAGGGGTGCGCCGTATTGCGAGAAAAGACGCCATAAGTCAAGACTTTGCGTCAAAATGCTCTTGCTAGGCCTTGCCATGCTCATATCTCATCTTGTGGAAACTATTCGAAGTCGGACTTGAAACGGAGTTGGTTACAACTCATAGGCTGTGGGGCCCCACGAGCAGTAGTGGGCTTACAGTGAGTCGTAGTTCACAATCGTGAAGCACCATGGCATGCCCTCTGCCCGAGAGCACCATTTTGGCGACAAGGCTCCCGCATGCGTCGACGCGGCATAATCAGAGGCATGCAGTAGTATGCTATGGAGGAATCGATGCGGAGGAACTGGGCCCCCCCGCATGAAAATTGAGTCCCTGAGGCTCGCCATGATGGCAGGTTTGGAGTGGAGATGCCTGTCGCATGAATAAACACATGCACGCAACGGGAACTCTGGATTGGAGGCTTTTGGGATGGCTAGGAAATCACAAAACCGACGCTTTTGTCAGGCTTACGGTGGAAGCGGAGCGGTGTAAAGAGTGTGTCTATAATATATTTTTTTAAAGAGGTGAAATCACAATATACAGAGTAGCCCTGAAATACCGATGACACAGATTTAGCGAATGCCCAAACGGACTCCTCTTCATTGTTTCAGAAAGAACTAACGGAGGGCATGAACAGAGAGAAATACGAATTGAAATTTGGACTTCAAGGGGTGTACCCAACAAAAGCCCCCCATTCAGTCTCACTCACTCCACAGTATTGCCAGCCCCACCCGAGAATACTGTTGAAGTCAAAGTTTTACCGTCCGCGTTGTTGCCATCCGTACATCATTAACAGCTGTTCAGATTTTGAATTCTGTACCCCGCGTTTCATGGATCTTCTGCCTTTCCTGCTTGCGTGTCGACAATTTCAACCTTTTCCAATCCCAACACAGCCGAGTTCCTCCCAAACCACGACAGGTGCTGTGATTGTGCCAGCTGGATTGCGAATTTGCTAGATGTCAGAAACCGTGACATCCATTTTGCAACTGTAGTTGCCAGGTTACAGACGTCGTCTTCCAGTCCGAACGATGATGCTTGGGGCATTTCTGCCCACATCCCTCCCCACTCGCATGGGGCATGGTCCGCGCTATTTTCACGTCCCCCTTTTTCACACCCCTGTGTATTCGTTCCTGATTTACCCGAAATTAGGGGTTGTTTTCAACAGTTCGGTTTTAAAGAAGAAACGATGGGGTCGCAGCTAAACAAAAAACCAAAAACGTGGTCGCAGCGTGAGATCCAGTCTTTACGCTGCAGTCCCAGAGTAAGAGTTCTACAACATCGACACTCCACGATGGCACGAATAGCCTCCAGTTTCGGGGTGTCTGATCCCTCTAGTCAGATAAGGTTAACAGGGGCTTTAAGGGTGAACTGAGGGGGTGTGAAATTGGCGCGGACTAGGTGTACCCGTGACATTACAGGGTGATTGCCCAACAACATAGGCCACAACATCGCCTCTGAGTAGGTGTACACATGATGCCCCTTTCACTCCCCTTAGCGTAGAAGTGTGACTACAATTTCACCTTCAGTACCCAACTTCTCTTTGGGAAATTTGTATGGAAAATTTGCCTACACCCAATACTCGATGACTGCGTGCCCCTCGACCTGCGTGACTCCTTCAAATGAGGGCACGGTGTGGGGGGGTTGGAGGGGGAACGCAGCACGCGCGCCATTGGTTACACGACACTCTGAAGGAAGAGTTGTGTGAAGCTCCTCCTAGCAAACAGCGTGGAACTGCGCGACAGCGTGGAAACCTGTGGCAGGTTTGGATTTAGGTCGCGTTCACATTTTCCATCAGCTTCGTAACAGACGGCCTCTTCTAAGCTGAAAATGATCCCGTATTTTCTGAAAACTGTGCTGCCTCTAGCGTTATCAGCTTGTCGACGACGAAAATCGCTCGTCACATACTCAACTCCCACGTTACGAGAATCGTAACCAAATTTTAAACAAAGTAGCTGCAACTCTACGCCCTCGGGTTCAATGAATCGGGTTTGGTCTAAGCTCGTGTCGGGTGCATTAAAGAGTGACAAGCCTGCCCACATGCGTGTTCAGTCAGAGCGTTTTGCCGCACGCTTCTTTTTAAATGTCAGATCTGCGTTTCACGAGAACTGCTTCCTGCCCCCACAACCGATGCGAGCCAGCAGGATTGCGGCTACAGTTTAAAACCAATCAGGAATCGTATGGACTACGAAACTGGGCGGCCACTGTTTCTCAACGAAAGAATCAACAGTTTCCCGGAGAAAACCGACAAGATCTGCAACAGAAGGCACTTTAACTTCAGGACAGTTTTGTCCGTTGCGCACTGTACGAGCTGTCTTCTGTAACCGCTTTCGAACGCTCCACACCCAGCAAACGGAGCTTCACGGCCACGCCACTTGCATTCACGTGAATTTGTCGCGGCTTGTCCGTCTTATGCGCCAGTGAGCTATAAGGTGAAGGCACGGACTACTGGCAGAACGTGATGAATGTAGAGGAGACCATAAGAACAAGATGATAAATTATCCCAATACACAAATACCATAGAATGTTTGTCTTAGTAAACATGGTCATGCTCGTTTTGGGGGGCACTTTGCTTTTTTGGGCATTCCAATAATTTCGTTCCGGCTCCAGTAACAATCAGCCAGAGTGGCCAACACATACTGTCGCAAGGAAAATCTGTAGCATCACTAAGTGGGTGGCTGCCGAGGCTGCTGCTGTGGCTGCGGCACAACATTTAACCCCCCAACCAGATTCTGAATTGCACCCAACACACCCAATATGTTGCTCGGATCGAGCGGGAGGTTGTCAAGCGAAATATTGTTTGTTGCTTGCCCGGGTGCTTGGTCGGGGCTGAAGGAATGGGAGCCTGACGAGCCGCCCCAACCTGCCCCGGCAGGCATACCCGCACCAGGCATACCCCCACCAGGCATACCCATACTAGGCATTCCCATTCCTGGCACTCCCATTCCTGGTACTCCCATACCAGGCATAGGGAAACCCCCGAATTGAATCCCACCGGGGAAGGCAAAGGGAGGGGGTGCGTGGTGGTGGTGTGGCGGGTGGGGATGGTGGTGGTGCTGATGCTGCTCGTGCTGGTGATGATGGTGGGGATCCTGTGGGGGAAAGGATGGGGTGGAGGGGGTAAAGAAGAGAGGAGGAGCGGGGAAGCTGGTTGAATAAGGAGGAAAATTGCAGTGATGCTGATTGTACTGGTGTTAGTGATGAAGCTGCAGATCCTGTGGGGAAAGGGATGGGGTGGAGCGGGAAAGAGAGCGAAGGGAGAATGGGGAAGAGGAGACAGGGGCTATTGCTTGTGCTGGTGGTGGTGGTGGTGATGATGGTGATGCTGGGGACAGAATAGAATGAGAGGAAGATAAAAAGGATAGTACTGTGGTAGTAGCAGGAAACACCAGGATAAATCTGATGACATGAAGTGACGGAATGGAAAGAAAAGGAAGATGCAAGGGAGGTGAAAGAGCGATGGAAGGAGAGGAAATCTGGGCCGAGAAGGCCAGCAGACATACATGATGGGAGCAGCACGCACCACGCCTTTGCTCGTTACAATGGGGTTTTTAAGCGATAAACGAACAGATGATGAAGTGAGGATGTGAGGTTCAAGTTTCAAGTGAGCAGACATACATGATGGGAGCAGCACGCGCCACGCCTTTGCTCGTCAAGCTTTCTCTTGGCTGCCTGCAGAGGCAGCAAGGTTGAGAACGGGCAATGGCAGCAGGAAGCATGGAGATGCGGGAAAGGGAGGGAAAAGGAGGTGGTGAATCGAAAGGAAGGGTGAGACAAGGTGACTGCAGCGGCTGGCAATTGCAGGCTGTTCGTTCTGAAAGCACACTTGCGCAATGCACTTGAAAATTGCAGGGCAAGCTAAGGCGGATGGCTTTCTTTTGAGATTCTCCTGGTGCGCTGCAATACAGGGGTTGGACTGCTGCTTTTTGAGAGGCCACACCCTCACAGATCTTCACCCTCACCCTCAAACTCACAACCCTTCACCCTCACCATCACAACCACAACCCTTCACACTCACCATCACACTCACAACCCTTCACACTCACCATCACACTCACAGTTCTTCAGTACAAGGAGCATCTCGTAAGAGGGACAGCTGAGCTCACCTTAAGGTTCTCCTTGTGCGCTGCGTTGGACGGATCTAGCTCCAGAGCTGATATGCGGACAGGGGGGCAGGAAGGGGGGGCGGAAAGGGGGGGGAGAAGTCATGTGTAGGAATGTATACAAGCGAATGTGGAAATCTGAGTCACAGAAGAGCAGATACAACGAGATGGAACAGGAAAGTCCCCACCTGCACGCACCTCTCGTAAATCCCCTCTTCAATCGCCTCGTGGTGTCGTCCCAGCGCCATGCATGCATGCCCCAGCCGGCTGTATGCGTTGCTGTCTACTGCCTGCTGTTCGCCTGCCTGTGCCACTCCCACCGACACACAAGCACCTTCATTAAAGACCCTCCCTCCCAACAGATGCACCTTTTTTGAAGCTCTCTTCAATCACCTCATGGTGTCGACCCAGCGCCATGCACGCATGCCCCAGCCGGCTGAATGCCTTGCTGTACCTCGGGTCTACCGCTACCGCCCTCCTGCTTCCCTACTGCCTGTTACTGCCCTCCCTCATTCTGCTTGTTAGCCCCACCAACACACACTAACCTTTCTTAAAGCCCTCTTCGATCGCCTCGTGGTGTCGTCCCAGCGCCATGCACGCATGCCCCAGCCTGCTGTACGCCTTGCTGTACCTCGGGTCTACGGCTATTGCCCTCCTGCTGTCCGCCGCAGCTTCCATGTAGTTTCCCAGCTGGTGCTGCGCTGCAGCCCTGCCATCAATTCCATTACAAGAAGCAAACGGGAACCCTCTGTGATTTATTGAGACATCCTCTGCGATTTTCCTTGTGATTCGACTAAAAAACGAGGAGAGATGAAAAGGGACTGATCAGAACCTGTGGCATGGTTGAATGCACTGGTGCCACTAAGGAAAACAATGCTTTTCGAGTGGCGCAAGAGTGCCTTTTGGGTCCAATTAAATGCGAGAGGAGAGGAAGGAAGAGCACCTGTTGGCATAGTAAATGGCATTGGTGCCACCACAGAGAGCGATCGCTTTGGAGTAGAGAGACAACGCCTCCTCGTATTGATGGGCTGCCATGGCCGCATTGCCTGCAGGGAAGTGGGGTCACGAGGGGCGATATGAGGTGGGTTGGTGGGTGGGTGGGAGAAGGGAGGACCACCACAGAGGGCGATCGCTTTGGAGTAGAGAGACAACGCTTCCTCGTATTGATGGGCTGCCATGGCCGCATTGCCTGCAGCCAGGGCACAACATGGGGGGACATGGGATGAGTGGGTGGGTGGATGGATGGGGTGACGGCAGGGGGCAGGGCATGGGGCATGGGAGAGTTTGACAGGCAATAACGCCTCCTCGTATTGATGGGCTGCCATGGCCGCATTGCCTGTAGCCGGGGCAGGGCATGGGGCGACATGGGATGAGTGGGAGGGTGGATGGGTGACGGCAGGGGGCATGGGGCATGAAGCAGGGGGCATGGGGCATGGAGCAGGGGGCATGGGGCATGAAGCAGGGGGCATGGGGCATGGAGCAGGGGGCATGGGGCATGAAGCAGGGGGCATGGGGCATGGAGCAGGGGGCATGGGGCATGAAGCTATGTTGCAAAATACGCGTTTCACGTACCAGTCGCGTACGTACTGTACGCTCACGTACGTACGTGATACGGGCGATTTCAGCCCCACGATACGCTCGAAATACGGTCGCCCGGGCAGGTGAAAAAAAAGTTCCGGGCAGGGAAAAAAAGTATGGGGGGGTGAGTCACGCTGCCTATGTTCATTTTGACCTTGTGCAGTTGGTTTTTTCCCGACGTATGAAACTTTTTTTCCCCATTACAAACATGCATTGCAAGTACACACATACTAGCAACTACTTTCCCGAGGGCCCTACTCCCCTACTCCCCTACTCCCCTACTCCCCTACTCCCCTTCTCCCCTACTCCCCTACTCCCCTACTCCCCTTCTCCCCTACTCCCCTACTCCCCTACTCCCCTTCTCCCCTACTCCCCTACTCCCCTACTCCCCTTCTCCCCTACTCCCCTACTCCCCTTCTCCCCTTCTCCCCTACTCCCCTTCTCCCCAAACCTTCATCTGCTTCTCCTCCTCTACTCCTCTTGCATGCCCAGCTCCTGAACCACTTACACTGCTGCTGCTGCCGTTCTTACTTCACGTACTCATCGGCCAGCACGCCTTCATCCTCCTCCCCCTCCTCCTCCTCCTCCTCCTCCTCCTCCTTGTTGTATCCCTCCGGCAGAGCGGGTTCAAGCATGTTGCCCGGAAGCACCGCCAATGACTCACCCATCTTGTGGTACTTGTGGACCACACGCCAGTTGTGGGTCACAAAAACTAGGTCTCGGAGCTTCTCCGAGCCTAGCCTGTTGCGGCGGGCAGTGTGCACCGATTCGAATGATGCCCACCCGCGCTCACACGGCGACGCCGACACCGGCTGTGTCAGGGCACGGCACGCAAGGCTGGCCAGGTGGGGGTGGTCAGTCCCGTGCCATCCCCACCACGCCACCATCGACAGCTTGCCTGCCTTCACGGCCTCCCTGTCGGCAATTGCCTCAGGAAGGCCGAAGGAACCATCAAGGGTGAGGAAGGCCGTGAGCCCCTCCTGCAAAACAAGAGAGGCACGCCTCTCCTCACCATCCTTATTGGTGAACGTCTTACCGTCGTAGTGACGTGCGATGAAGGCCTTGAAGATGCGGGTACATTCCATGTCGTTGCGGAAAATACCCTCCTCCTGATTTGCCGGGTTGAGGATCCGCCCCACGACGTGAAGAGCGCACGCAAGGCTCTCGTCCCAACGGCGCCGAACAATCTTCCCAATGTCAGTCGCAACCGCCCGCGGCAAGATCTTCTCCCCCGCTTCCAGCTTGTCGTTCACGTCCTCGGTCAGCTGGAGCATTAGGTCGTAGATGGTCCCCATCATCCCTTTGGCGCTGCTGTCCGTGGCGCGCATCACCTTGAATGGAATTGCCAACAGCTCCGCCAGGTACGCAGCGTTCTTCCACCAGGCGTCGTCCATGACTTGCCCGCGGAATGTATCCGCCGTCGTCTTCCTAGCCCCCGCCGACCAGTTGGCGAACTCCTCGCTCAGCACCATCTGCGACAGCGTGGACCGCAGCTCGACGAGCCTGGAGAGGGCGATGTAGTTGGTGCCGAACCTCGTCCCCGCCGGCTTCACAAGCTGCTTCCCCTTTCCTCCCTTCACCTTCTTACTCCTCAGGTAGTTGCGGGTGAAATGGTGGTTGCGCACGTAGGTGATCATGTCCCCGCACCGATCCACAATGTCCTTGCACCACGTGATCTTGCCCACGTCCTCCAACAGGAGGTCGAGTACGTGCGTAGCGCACGGCACGTACTCGATGTGGGGCCAATCCGCCATCAGCTCCTTGCAGGCGGCACCGTAGTTGGATCCGCCGTCCATGCAAAGTGCGACCACGTTTTGGGGCCCCACTTTCTCGATGATGGGGCGGAGGAGCGACGCGATGTAGCCGCCGGTCTTGGACTCCATGTTGCAGTCGATAGCCTCCACGAACACCGCTCCTGAATCGTTGACCAGCATGACGTTCGCCTGCGGCCTCCCGCACCGATCGGTCATCAAGTCGGATGAGACGGTGACGCCATCCCTCTTCCAGCTCGCGGCGATTGGCTGAAGCCCCTTCTCGATGCTCGTGCGGCACTGCTTCGGACCAGCTCCTCCGATGTAGTTCCGTCGCGGCGCAAGGTAACAGTGGGGTGCGTTGTTAATGGCCCTGACCATGTTGCGCCACAACGGGTTGTCGGCGTGGTGTTCGGGAATGCGACAGCCGGCGAAGAACAAACTGACGGCGTAGTCCGCCTCGCCCTTCTTGCACTGCGCCTCGTCGCCGATGAAGTCGGTGATGCGTCCTCTCTTCGCACCTCCCACGACAGCATTGAGCGCAGCATCCTCGGCCCGCCGTTTCTCGTCGCGGTTGGACGCCTTCTTCTCGTAGTGCGCAGCCACCGCCGCTCGCACGTCGGCTGGAACCTTAGCGCACAGGCGGACGTCGCGAGAGCGCTGTCCCTTCCATTTCGCGAGATGCTGAGCGCATCGGAACGCACCACCCTTGAACTCCTTGGAGCAATACTTGCAAACGCGGATAGTCCCGACTGTGTCGGGACGGATGGGAACCTTGAAATGCTTGAAGACGACATGCGTACTATCCTCCTCCAGCCATTGCGCCTCCGAAGTCGAGGCAGAAGGATCACTATGCTGAGTAGACGGACCAGAAGGCTGAGTGTGGTTAGAAGGGACTGGAGTAGACATAGCTCAACACTGAACTGAACAGGAATGAGAGATGTGTTGTGGTGGGGTCAATTATACCTACCACGAATTGGTTGCGGGGTGGGGGACGTGCTCTGGTTGGTCACGAGTTGTTGGGGGTGATTGGGCAATGTTGAGTTTCGTGGGGTGAACGTGGCGATTCGGTTTTGCACGTCCACAGGTTGGAAAAACGCGACCCGAAATGTCGGAATACGTGCGTACGGAAAAAGCGCGAACTTTTTTTTTTTGAATTTTTTTTGCCCTGCCCGAATTCACGTATCGCGTATTTGTCCCCGTTTCACGTTTTCCCATTTATACGTGAACGCATATACGCGATACGTTAAATTTCAAAGCAGGGGGCATGGGGCATGGAGCAGGGGGCATGGGGCATGGAGCAGCGAGCATGGGGCATGAAGCAGCGGGCATGGGGCATGGGAGAGTTTGACAGGCAATAACGATGCCTCATACTGATGGGCTGCCATGGCCACATTGCCTGCAGAGCCAAGGGGCATGAGTGGGCGAGCGAGGGAAGGGGGAAAGCTCGAGAACCATTTACCCAAAGGCACCGACCCCAGCCACCCGACCCAAGTCACACTAGGCACGCACCCACACCACCCACCCATTCACTCCCACCCACCCATCCATGCATCTACACCACACACTCAGACCACCCACACCACACCAGACCTGACATCACACCACACCACACCACACCACACCACACACCACACCACACCACACCACACAACACCACACCACATTACACCACACCACACCACACCACACCACACCGCACCGCACCACACCACTCACCCTGCGCCTTCAGCTCCTCCGCTTTCTTCTTGTCCTCTTCTGTGACCACTGCTGCCGCAGCCCCACCTGCACTCCCACCCGCAGCAGTCTCAGCAGAAGCACCAGCAGCAGCAGAACCACTACCAGAAGCACCAGCAGCACCACTTGCAGCCGCAGCTGCAGTTGCACCTGAAACATCTCTCCCTTGCGTCTCCTTCTCCTTCTCCTTCCCCTTGCCCTCCCTTTGAACCTTCCTCTCCTCACTGCCCTTGCTGCCGCCCTCCTGCTCCTTCTCGTTCCTCTCATTCCCCTTCTTCTCCCCTCCCTCCTTCTCCCCTCCCTCCTTCTCCCTTCCCTCCTTCTCTCCTCCCTCCTTGTCTCCTCCTTCCCTTGCTCCTTGCCCCATCCCCCCACCCTGCTGAGCAACGCACTGGTGAAAAATCGCTCGTGCCTGCTGCTGCCGTGCCGCATACTCCTCACTACCCGCCACTGTCCCCGCATAATACCCCGCACTCTCCAGCCCCTGCAAAAACTCCTGAAGCTTCTTCTCCAGATCCAGAGCACCCTGACCTTCCCCCTGCCCCTCCTCCCCTTGCCTGTCCTTTCCTTTGCTCTGTTCCCCCTCTGTCTTCTCCGCTTCCCCTTCGCTCCGCACCTCCTGTTTCCCCCGATCTTGCCCCTCCCCACTCATACCCGCTCCAGATTCCACAAGCCCAGTTTCCCCTTCTCTTTCTTTCCCTTGTTCTCCCATTTGTTCTGTAACCCCTTCAACTGCGTCTTTCATCTCTACTTCCTCCCCTCCCCCACTGCCTCCGCCGCCCCCGTTGTCTATCCTCGCGTTTTCTGCTCCTGCAGCAACCGAACCTCCCCCGACCCTGTCTCCCAAGCGAGGCTCGACGCCAGCCTTGTCCCCTTCATCCATAGGTTCGGGCAGCGGGGCAGCAGCCTGGGAATTTTCCACTAGCTGCCCGCCTAGCCGGGCAGCACCGATTGAAGAACCATGACCAGTAGCAGAACCTGGCGTGCTGTCCTGAATGAGCTGCAACAGTGTTCCGGGCAGAACTGAATATTTCTCCAGGTCGTCCGGGTTTTGCGGGCTGACCCCAAAAGCTTCAGAAAGGCAGTCTGCGGCAACTTCTAGGGCGTCTGAGTCAACTGAGGAAGGGATGGGGGCTGATGCAGCAGCGAAAAAACGGGAGGGAACGGAAAGACGGGACAACAGATGGGTGGTGGAATGATTATGACACATGTCAATCTGCGGCGACCTCTAGGGCGTCTGAGTCGAGTGAGGAAGGGAGTGGGGCTGATGGGGCAGCGGGGGGGAGATGAACGGAGAACAGAGATAGAACGGCTGGTTGCACGAGACTTTAGTAGAAAAGATAGTCACCATAATTGAAGCGTGAAACAGCTTCATGCAGTAACTACTTACTACTGTTCCGAGGAAGTAGACAAATGATAGCACAGAGAGGTCTCAGAACATAAACTAGCGAAGCCCGAGACGCTTCCCTCAGTCGCTACTACCTGTGCGGAGATAATGACCGTTGAGAAGCTTCCCTCGAGCGCTAGCACCTACCTGTGCGGAGGAAATCAAGGAATGCGAGCACGGTTCGCCTCTGAGCGAAGAATTCATCCTCCTTAGAAGCCGCATCGCTTGGAGACGCCATTCTCAGCGGGTTCGGCGATCACGAAACAATCGCGTTTTTCAGATTCCGGCCGGCTGGATCCTACTGTGCGGTAATTCGCCGTAAAGTTTCCGACCAGGAGTAATATCACAACGCCATTTGCGACAACGGGATCGAGTTCGAACAATTCGGCGAGAGAAATGACGGGATTGAAAGCCGAGAAGGACAGAGAGAGCGATAAAACGCGCCGATTTGAAAAGTAGACTGCTGCTGCTGGCGGGACGGTGATCGTTGCTAGAGTCTCGGAATCTGCTGTGTCGCCCGTTTGGACCCGTCAAGTCTGAATTGTAGGTGCTAATGAGCTTCTGGAAGACTGGTGATGCAAAAAGCCTGCAGATGGGACGAGGTGAGCAGATTTTTGGATGGTTCTGGAATTTGAATGAACCATAAGGACATACATGAACCGCAATGTAGATTACAGAAAGGCCGCGGTATCTCACTAAACTGTACCTTACCCTGAACTTATCGGCACACCCCTTCAACCAGCGACAAACAGACTAGGACGTTGCTATGTGGAGTGTATCTTTCAGTTTCTTCACCAAACGCGTCAGGGTGCGCTTATCGCGGATGCTACCTCCCTGTCACCACCAACCAACTTTCCTGTGGTGAACCCAACCCAACATAGTCGCCAGCATTCCCAAGACTGCCCGATCACCATAGCTAGCAGTTTGATCATACAGCCGTCCGCGCAGAAGCAGCTGACCTAATTCGTTATGCGGTATCGTGACGTAAACTAGCTATCTGACGCTAATCATTTCGAACAATTTTGCTTTTCCTTACGACCGGTATCTGGGCGTCAGGTTCGCCGTTCGCTTCGTCACCAACGCAGCAGTGGCAGCAGCAGCAGGTCTATTGTTCCAACTGGCTTCTCGGTCCCCTCAACTGCATTTAACAGCATTATTCGCGTATTCTATGAGTGGTAGAAAGTGTTCAATGTGCTTCTGTCACTTCACATGAAGCGTAGTTTGGAGGAGAGATATTTAAAGCTGAATGCGCGTCGCGGGTTTAGAAAGACAGGAGCTGTATGGGCAGCAAGAACTGAAACTATTAATCCTTTAGACACTTACTGCGATGAGATCAAAAAGACGACCCTCATACTTAGCTGAGAGCCGGAACGGTAGAATGAGAAGATTCGAAATGGGAAGTCACGAAAGATACCACGATGCTTCGAGTTGCGCTGCAAAACGTGGTTTTGCAGTCGAAACGTCGAAAAGCGCTCTTTCGCGAAGCTCAATTCCTTGGAAGAATACGCCTTTCCTCGCATCGCCTCTGGTCACTGCTGTCCTTCTCGCTCTGCTCGTTCCCAGCGCCGTTGCTGGCTCGTCCAGACCATCCGCGTTAGAAGCGGACTCTTTAGCAGAATATCTTTCACCGATGACGTCACGAGTGTTCTCGCTGGAGGACTACTCTTCTTGGAAGGGTTCTGTGCGGCGGAGATTGGTGGATGACGTGGCATCAACGGCCAACAGCGTGTTAAGGTAAACCTACTTGAGCCTTAAACGTAGCTCTATTCGAGCCGCTTAAGAATACGCGGTTCAAAGAGAGCTCTTTGGAAATGGCACCTCTTAAACCTCGGTTCATGAACCTTGCTTATGTTGCTGAGTTAGCCCTCTCACTCCTCCGTCTTCCCTCCCCTTCATCCCATTCTCCCATTCCTCCCCTTCATTCCTGCCTCTTCCCCGCCGACCCATCTGTCCCCCGTTCTCCACCCCTTCACTCTTTCCCTCCGCACCGTCGCCCTTCCCTCTCCCACCCTCCCCTCCTACCTTCCCTCCACATTCTCCCTTCCTGGCAGTCCCGAGGCGGTGAGTCAGCTGGTGGGGCGGCTGAGGGCGCTGCGGGTGCGATTGGGGGAGGTGGTAACGCGGGCGAACACGACCATGCAGCTGCTGCCGGGACTGGACGAGGAGAACGGCGCCGAGGGCAGCGGGGAGGGGCTGGAGAGCGTTAAGGTGGTCGATGTGGTGGATGATGATCAGACGCCGCTGAAACTCGACTGGTGAGTGGGACTTAAAACGAGGCGGACTGTAGCGCGGACAGACAGGCAGGGGTATTGGGAGGGCAGCGGGGAGGTGCTGGCTGGAGAGCGTGAAGGTGGTCGACGTGGTGGATGATGATCAGACGCCGCTGAAGCTGGGCTGGACTGGTGAGTGAGAGAGATTGATACTTGAATGGGGACAGGCGGTAGGGCGGACAGACAGGCAGGGCTTTGAATGGGGCAGCAGGGAGGGGCTGGCTGGAGAGCGTAAAGGTGGTTGTTGGCGTGTGTACTTACAAGCCATTTTTGCTTCTCGCTCCCTTCGTCCCCCCTGCCCCGCCCAGGGGTCGGGCGGTGAGCAAGGAGCAGCGGGAGAAGGAGGAGAAGGACAAGCAGGCGCAGGGGCGATGCCCCTCAGAGACACAGGCAGGAGGGGGCGCAGGCGGCGCTGCTGACGTGGCAGCGGCTCATAGGCTGGCGGCACATGCGGACTGGAGGGGCGGGTTCGCGAATGGGAGCTTGGCATGGGCGCCGGAGAAGGATCGATACATTCTCATGGACTGCCACAGAGGGAGGGTGCGTGGAGGTGGCGGCATGGGGTGGGGCGATGTGAATGGGTGGGCAGGGCAGGTGGAGTGGGGAGGTGAGGGAGGAGAGAAGTGCTGGTAGGTTGATTCGCGAGTGGGAGCTTGGTGTGGGCGCCTCAAAAAGACAGATACATTCTCATGGATTGCCACAGAGGGAGGGTGCGTGGGAGGGGAAATGCAGGGGTGGGGGTTGGTTGGAAGGTGTGGGCCAGGGGATTGGAGAGAAAAGAGGAGGTTGACTCGCAAGGGGGAGTGTTGGGGGGGTGTGGCAAGGTGCGTCCGTGCATGTGTCATGCTGTTACTTCTACCTCCCATAACTTACGCACGCATCTTACCCCCATGACAGCCTATGAGGATGTGCGTGCGTGATATTGAAGTATTTTTGAGACGTCTCAAAACTAATCTCCCATTCGCCCCTTTCCCTCTCCCTCCCACTCCCCCTTCACTTCATACCATCACCAGTCCAGCACGCGAATCCGCTGCTTCCGCAACTATATGCTGCTGGCGGGCCTCTCAAACCGCACGCTGCTCGTGCTCCCCTTACCCCCTCCCGTTTTCCCCCTTACCCCCTTCCCTTTCCCACCTCCCTCACTCCCATACCATCTGCAGTCCAGCACGCGAATCCGCTGCTTCCGCAACTATATGCTGCTGGCGGGCCTCTCAAACCGCACGCTGCTCGTGCTCCCCTTACCCCCTCCCGTTTTCCCCCTTACCCCCTTCCCTTTCCCACCTCCCTCACTCCCATACCATCTGCAGTCCAGCACGCGAATCCGCTGCTTCCGCAACTATATGCTGCTGGCGGGCCTCTCAAACCGCACGCTGCTCGTGCTCCCCTTACCCCCTCCCGTTTTCCCCCTTACCCCCTTCCCTTTCCCACCTCCCTCACTCCCATACCATCTGCAGTCCAGCACGCGCATCCGCTGTTTCCGCAACTACATGCTACTGGCAGGCCTCTCAAACCGCACGCTGCTGGTGCCGATGAACACAACAGAGGTGGCGTCTGGATATGACCGGCGCATCGTGTTTGACTTTGATCACACCTGGCGGTGAGTGCTTCATTGGGTGGGTGGCATGGCAAAGGTATTCCCTAGGTGCGGGCTTGCCTCAAACCGCACGCTGCTGGTGCCAATGAATGAACACCACGGAGGTGGCGTCTGGGTACGACCGGCGCATCGTGTTTGACTTTGACCACACGTGGCGGTGCGTGCTTGAGGGTTCAGGGTGTATGGAAATGGATATTACATGGGAAAATCATCACCCCTCATTCAACACAACGGAGGTGGCGTCTGGGTACGACCGGCGCATTGACTTTGACTTTGACCATGCCTGGAGGTAAGTGGTTTGAAACGTTCATTGGTTGGGTGGTTGGGTGGTTGGGGTGCCTGGGTGGAATGGCATGGCAAGGTATACCCTAGGGGCGGCTTGCCTCAACCGCACGCTGCTGGTACCGATGAACACAACAGAGGTTTCGTCTGGATATGACCGGCGCATTGTGTCCGACTTTGATCACACGTGGCGGGGGGTGGTAGGGTGGGTGGGCCATACAGCCGTTCATTGGGTGGAGTGGCATTGCAAAGGGGGTATCCTCAGAGTGCCTTTGACCATGCCTGGGTGGAGGGTCATGGGGCATGGGTCATGGGGTGACTGGTTGAGACCTGCGTAAGCACACAGACACACGCAGACACTCTGCATCCCAAAATATCCCTGTTTCAAGCAATAAAACTCTTATCTCTCCCTTGAACCCCGTCCCTCCTTTTCGCCCCACCCAGGTGCTACGGCCCTCTCTCTGTTCTCCCCACGCAGCGGAGGGGAGGGAATGGGCTGGAAGCACATTGCGCACACTCTACCTGAACCCATCCTCCCCCCTTTTCCTCCCTCCCCCATCTCTCTCATTTTCGGCCCACCCAGGTGATACAGGCCCCTCTCTGTGCTCTCCCCAATAGTGCATCCTTAAACCCTCTTATTTCAAGAATAAAATCCTCTGTTTCTCCCCTGAACCCCGTCCCTCCTACTCGCCCCACCCAGGTGCTATGGCCCTCTCTCTGTTCTCTCCACTCAAGACTTTCTCGACTTGAACAAGGGGGGAGCGGAGGAAGGGGGAGGAGGAGTGAAGGACGGGAAAGTAGTGATCGATCAAGTGCTCTGCCTACGAGGCTCCTGTTACAACCAGAAAGGCCATGGGGATCCGGGCACTTTAGTCAATCTGCCCGACGCTGCCGTAGCTGAAAATATCACCTGGAGCACTGTCCCTTCCACGGCGATCAAGGAGCAGAAGTTTCGTCTGCCCGAAGCCGCCGAGATCGCGCGCGAAATCCTTCCGTCTGCCCGGGTTGTGGTTCTCAGGGAGCTGGAACTTTTTTCGTTTGACCGGTCGCTCGAGGCCGAAGGCGACGTTCCTTTTTTCCGCCGCCCGGGCTGCCCGAACTCCCTAGCCATCCAACCCCATCCCGCCGTCCTCCTCTCGGCCGAACGGCTAATCCAATCCAAAATGTGGACCCTTATTGCACTAAACGCCACTTTTAGCCACACGCCCGCGAATTTCACAATCAACAACACAGGAGCGGATGGCGGGAGTCGGGGTGTGGGGTGGCAGAAGGAGAGCGAAGCGACCGAGATTCAGGATAAGAGATTCGTGGCGGTGCATTGGAGGAGGGGCGAGATGGGGATGGGGTGCAAGGAACCAGGGGTGACGTGTCATGTAAGAGCAGCGCAGGCGGCTGGGTGTATTGCGAGGGCGATGGAGAAAGCAGGGGGGATCAAGACGGTGTTTCTGGTTTCAGACGCCAGTCCCAAGGAGGTGCGTGGTTGCCTCTTTGTCTTATGTTCCCTTTCAAGGAGGTATGTGCCTCTTTGTCCCATGGTCCCTCGGTGCATTGGAGGAGGGGCGAGATGGGGATGGGGTGCAAGGAACCGAGGGTGATGTGTCATGTAAGAGCGGCGCAGGCTGCTGGGTGTATTGCAAGGGCAATGGAGAAAGCAGGGGGGATTAAGACGGGGTTTCTGGTGTCTGATGCCAGTCCCAAAGAGGTATGTGGCACTGCTGGCTCGAAGGAGGTATATCCCTTGCCCCTTCAGCCAAGGAAGTATGTGTGTGTCAAGGGGGTTTGTGTTTGGTCATCTTTCTCCTGTGGCCCCTCCCAAGTCTGTAAATGATTCCGCAGAGGTATGTGGTTGCAAGGAGGTGTGTGTTCCACAGAAGATTCGTAATGCTCTCTTTCAACTCATTCAAGAACCTTTGCCTCGTCATGCTGCTTCCTTCTCCCATTCCTCCTCGCTTTCCCTTTCCCCCTCCCTTCCCCCTTACCTTCCACCTCCCCCTCCCTCTGTTCTTTTCTTTCTGATTGTCCTTCTCCCAAACCAGTTGACTGAAATTCGCAATGCTCTCTTCCAACACATTCAGGACCTTTGCATCGTCATGCTGCCTGCCAACCCTGTTCCTCCCCCCACAACCATTCCTTACCGTTCCCCTTCCCCATTTCCCTTTCCCCTTCTCTTCTCCTCCCACAACCTCACTGAGATTCGCAATGCCCTCTCCCAACACGTTCAGGACCTTCGCCTTGTCATGCTGCTTCCTTGTCCCGTTCCCCCTCCCCATTTCGTTTCTCCGCTTCCTTACCCTTCTCACTCCCGCCAACCAGCTTACCGAGATTCGCAACGCTCTCTTCCAGCACATTCAAAACCTTCACCTCGTCATGCTGCCTGCCAACCCTGTTCCTCCCCCCACAACCATTCCTTACCGTTCCCCTTCCCCATTTCCCTTTCCCCTTCTCTTCTCCTCCCACAACCTCACTGAGATTCGCAATGCCCTCTCCCAACACATTCAGGACCTTCGCCCCCTCATGCTGCCTCCTTGTCCTGTTCCCCCTCCCCATTTCGTTTCTCCGCTTCCTTATCCTTCTCACTCCCCCCAACCAGCTCACTGAGATCCGCAACGCTCTCTTCCAACACATTCAGGACCTTCGCCTCGTAATGCTGCCTCCTTGTCCCGTTTTCCTTCCCCTTCGTTTCCCCCCAACCAGCTAACGGAAATTCGCAATGCTCTTTTCCAACACATTCAAGACCTTCGCCTCGTAATGCTGCCCCCAAACCTTCGCGGGCAGAAGTGGGCTGCCCGGCTGAAAAGTTACGACTTTCAGCACCAGGGGCTGATTGTTTCCACTGTAGACAAATGTGTCGCTGCCTTGGCTGATATTTTTCTCGGGACCGCTGGATCGAGCTTTACGCTAGACATTCAACGGCTGAGATCGGGGCTCAGGACGGCCAGCTGTGAAGATTCGTTCATTTGTGAGGGTGCTGGTGGACATGCTTCGTCTCATACTGCGCTCAGGTGATCCCGGTGGGTGGTGCTATAGTGATCAGATACGCAAAATACACTTGATTATAGTGGTGTAACTGGTGATATGACATCTGATGGTTCTAGAACTCAGTGATTTGCAGCCAGTCCTATGGCATGATCATCTATCCTGGGTGGCATCAGGTGCACAACAAATCAACTTGTTGCTGCCATCCCACATGAGCGGTGACTACCCACACTAATCTTAATACACTCCTGCTTGCTTTATAAATGGCAACAAAACAAACTACATTACTCCAAGCTCACTTGCTTCATGTATCAACACTCTAAAAACCCTCATCCACTTCCTACACTGCAATGTTCGAAGCAACACTCCACCAGGGTGCGTTCCCAAAACCTCAGTACAGCGACTTGGTTCAGATCCAAAGCCACGGTAAGCAATGGATCTGTAGAGTCTACATTGTAAAGTCTCTTTGTGAACTCTTCCCCTCCTCCGTCCCCCCACCCAATACCGCACCCTCCTCCCCCATTCCCCCAACCCTACCGCCCCCTCCTCCCCCGTCCCCCCACCCATACCGCCCACTCCTCCTCATCCCCCTCCCCTTCCCCTCACCTCCCTCCTTCCTTTTCCGCGGACGTTTGTTTCACAGCACTTTCCAAATCAACTGTTCTAGTTACTCTCCTACCTTCCTCTTGCTCCTCTTGCCTTCCCCCCTCCCCCTGCTTCTTCTCCTCATCCTCCCCATCCCCCCTCTCCCTCCCCTCCTTCCCATCATTCCCCCTCTCATCCTCCTCCTCCCCACCTGCCCCAATTCCTTTCACCACCACCACCACCTCCTCCTCTCCCTCTTCCACTATTGCTTTTACAACCAACAATCCTTCTCCCTCCTCCCCCACTGCTTTCACCACTAGCACTTCCTCCTCCTCTCCCTCCTCTCCCTCCTCTCCCACTTCTTCCTCCTCTTCCTCCTTTCCCTCGCCCCCATCCGGTTTCTCCTCTCCCCCCTCCTTGCTCCCCTCCTCCTCTTCCTCCTCTCGGTTCTTAGGCAGCTTCAGTCCAAATCTCTTTTCAAAATCCACGTCTTTGCATCCAAACATGTACCCAAGCCCGTACTTCTCCGCCTTACCCGCTTCCAGCAGCAGCTTATAACGAGGACGGAGCCTCTTCTCCACGCTCCGCGTCAGCAGCGCCGGCCACATCGCCACGTCACCAAGCCCCCGCCCCATATCCTCCACAACAAATCGAATCTTCGATTCTAGGGTTTCCCACGTGAAAGCAATCACCAGCGGCATCTGGTTCATCATCCGAACCGCGGTTTCCCGCCCAAAAAGGTTTATCAGATTCGTTAGAGTCACAACCATGCTGTCCCAATTTTGCCCCAGCAGCAACGGCTGACGCATCAAGAATCGGCGCGCTTGTTCCTCTCCAAAATACTCCACCATCCCTTTATAAGTCGCTTCCGTCGTTTCATGCTTCACTAAAAGCAGCTGCGGGTACCGCCGCAAGTAGTACAGCATATCCCCGTTTTTGTCCCCCAAAATCGACTGTATCAGCAAAACCTTCCGCTGGATCTCCGACGCTCTACCCCCCAAAACAAAAGGGGAAGTTTCGAGAATATCCGCAACGGGGGTCAAACCAGCCAGCTTCAGTTGCCGAACTTTTTCCTGTAAGGTCGGTACGGTCAGGTTTAAAACAAACGGAAAACTCTGAACGACCTTGTCGATTCTCTTAACTCCTAGCTCGAACCGCAGATAGTGCAAAGCCGCTGCGAGAGTCTCCTCCGAGACGGAAAACACGCACGCGCGAGTCGCGGCGCGTAGAAGACTGATCGGCGAGATGCCGTACTCCTTAAATAAAGCGGTCTTCTGGCTGGTGAGGGAGTTAAAGTCCGTTTGGAAGAGCGACGGATTCCGGTGGAAAATAGTCAGAAGCTGTTTATCCGAGAGCGCGCCGTTAGACAGATGGCTGAGGATTAATAAATTCTGACTCGCTATAGAGCCAATGCTGACGTGGCGCTTGGGGTATTTGAGTGATAACTCGTGCAAGACGCGTCTAAACCTGGCGGCTTCAGCGGGGGGGAACGTGTCAAGTTCTGCTAACACCGCATCGTACTGTGACACGTACGGCCCATCCGTCCCCGTTTCATCTCCGTCTTTAGGACTGTGTTCCCCCTGCTCCCCCTGATCCCTCTGCCCCCCCGGTTCCCCGAAGACCTCATGCCGTTTCCGCTCGCCACTGGTACTTTTGCTGCTGTTGATGCTGCTTCCACCGCTGCCGCTGCTATTCCTGCTGCCGTCGTCGATTGGCGTTGCATCCACGTCAGCAACTCGCGTGGCAGCGAGCGATTGCTTGCGCGGATGCCTCGTCGCCCCGCCTCTGCTGCGCGACGGGAGACTCTGAGAGCGCGCGGAGCTCACCGCTTTCCGCGGAACTGCCAAATGCGGGGGCGCGCGAGCTGAACGGCACGCGCCATCGTCCTCGTAGGCGTAAATCGCGCCAATCGGGGTCGCTGGCGCGGAGATTGGGGGACTGACGCGGAGGAGCATCTCCCCCGCGATTGCAGGCGGAAGTGAAATCAGTGGTTTTTATACTAAACTACTGCTGCGGACGAATATATGTCAGCCTCTGGTCAGCTGCCGAAGAAACCGCTACATTTGATGTTAGGACATGAGCAGGGGTACTAACGGGGTTTTACAGCTGGTTTTAGGAGCGAGGTTGGGCAAGGGGGGTTCAAATCGCGAAAGAAATGGAAATTGGCAGTTTGGTTGTGGAATTTCGTTGTGCGAAATCGAAAGGATTCGCAAGGCAGTGTACAGCGAAAACATAACCAGAATAAAATACATATGTTGCAACTGTGAATCCTGTACACTTATATGTCTTACACACTGAAACATTTATCTTAGACATCAGCCAACTCTCACTGCCGCCTTCATCCCCTTTTCACAGTCCTGCCCTGTTAGTGATGCAAAGTACAAGCTATACTTTTTCCTGCTCTGAGTAGGGACTACAAACTTGTACACCCCGTAGAATCTTGGACTTACAAGTTGCAAGGCCTGGGACCTGTCACAATTATCATATGCAGCTTTGTTTTCAAGCCATTGTAGATCATGCTGGCCAAGCCAGCGAAACACTGCGAGTGGGAGGCAAGGGAACGAATTCACACACAAAGTTACATTTTTGTAAGAAAAGAACAATGGCTTCCTGCTTCTCTCCTACATTAAGGAGTCCACAACAGTGCCTCCTCAGGCGGCACATGACCATTGGATTGAATGCCATGACAACATACCAAGAATATCTCCGGGTTTGACGGGACGGCCCTGCCACTTTTGAGCGCCATACGTCCAGCCAAAGAACTTCTTCAGACCAAGACGAACCATGCGAGCCTGGAAAGCACAAGAGAGGCGAAAATGGTGGGTGATAAGTCGAGCTTTGAGCAGACTCAACACTCTACTTCAGACCAAGACGAACCATGCGAGCCTGAGAAGGACAAACGAGGCGAAATTGGTGGGAGGTAGGGATGGGAGAGAAAAAGAGAGAGATAAAGGGGAGGGGAGGTGAGAGCAGAGGTGGGGGGAGGGGGGAGGAAGGTGGGGGGAGGAGAGGAAGTGGGGGTAGGGGGGGTGAGGTGGTACGGGGGTTGAGGGGGAGCTTCATTTTTGGATGCGTATGTACAGACAGGCGTATGGGTGTGGTCGGCGAATAACCAATTGCATAGCGACTGGTACCTGACAAAAAGGAGCGCCTGTCGCGGAAGTTCCACCAACAGTGGCGTCACGTGGTCGAATGAGGTAGCAGCGCATATGGGAGTGGGGAGCAGAAAGGACAGCGGAAGGAGAAAGCCAAATCACGTGTTCACGGCGGGAGATGGGTTGGTCAAAGTGGGGAAGGGGAGAATTAGGGGACCGACTAGCATATTTGGGGGAATGCACGAGAAAATTAGGATAGAATGAACAGCAGCGCATTATAGTTAAGTAATGCTCCTGCACTTGGTCAATACTGTGACCCGCGTGACGCGGCGAGGGTTCAAGACGAGGATAGGCTGCGCAATCGTACGGATTGACGAAAAGGTTACCAGAAAAGGCATAGGGTAATCACGGCTTCTTCGAAATAATGACACTCCGAGCGACTACGCCTATTTTAAAGGTCCCGACTCGCAGTTTCGTTACAGCCACGACGAGGATAAAATGTCTCCTAGTAAAGAGCGGCTGCTCGAGAATGGCTCCTCCTAGTAAATACAGGCTATCTAATTGGAGATATTGGAGAGCGAAAGTTTACGCACTTGTCAGCATAAGAAGCGAGAGTAGCAGAAGCGCGCACATTCTTGCTTCTAAAGTGGTAACCAACCGAAGCGTCATCTTCCCGGTGCGACAAGCGCTTATTGGGCAGTTTAGCTGCCCGTGGGACGAGATTTGGCGTTCGCGCAATCGACGTGGATCTTTACTCCGGGGTGCTTTTCGTAAAAATTGAGGGAGGAAAATATCGGATGCAAGTGTTCTTCGAACAGTCTGGTTCAGCAATCCACGTTGCTAAGTGCCTACCAATTTCGAATCTGGAACAAGTCTACAAACGAAATACGGGGCCTTTTACTACTCTCGGAGAGCAGTCAATAACGTATGTGACAACCGAGGTCAGGCGGATAAGAGAGAGGGAGCGAGAGACGGAGGAACGAAGGGACCGTAGAGGGCAAGGAAGACGAAAGAGCAGATGGTTAACGGGTGCGTGGTCTGTGTTCTGTTCTGTATGGCGGACGGGAGCGCGTGCGGTGATGGGAGCAGAAAGGAAACCAAAGGTGGGATGATGGTATGGAAAGGAGGCGTGAGGTGGATAGGGAACCAAGAGGAGGGAAGGGGTGATGGAAGTGCGGCTATCGTTTTATTTCAGGCAAGCAAGACATGTGTTGAGTTTGCGCAACGGCTGAATATCGAGCGAAATGTTACTACATCTCGAGAACGTTCGCACACGAGAATGTGACAAGAAGAAATCTCGTCGCAAAGGGCTGTGTTGTTCATTGCATTTCCCGAAATTTGAGATTTAGCGATTCGATTTGGCCGCGAAGAACTGAAAATAAATTCCCGCGATTTTTCGGATGAAAGCCTGTGCAAAGTGAAGATGTGAACAGCTTTTACCCTTGTCCAAAGTAAATAATCATACCATGTTATTTTCATGATGACATGAAGCCCCAAACCTTGTTCCGTTGAGTGACGCTCCCCAATTAATTGCAGATGTGTGATGCCCATATCAACTAATTCTAAGCTTGATGCACACAAGCTATTAACTCTATATTTGGTTTCTCAAGGCTAAGGCCACACTAATCATCGTAAGTATCTTGAATGGAATATTCAGACTCTGATAAATCAGCCTGACTAGAGCCTTCCACAGCACCATCTCCTGTAGCAGGCACGCCCCCAGATGTAGCTCCATCCTGACTCTCAACGCCCATTGGTTGTCCCGGGTCCATCATGCCAGCAGGATCATACTGAGTGTATGAATGCGGCAATACATAACCAAACCCCTCCGCTGATGTGTACACCATTCCCATGTGCTCTGCGCCAGTACTGCCAGCCATGGGGTGCAAAGGACTACCAGTGGGATACACAGGGGTTCCCGAGGGTTGCATGGAACTAGCCATGGGGTGCATGGGGCTACCCATAAGATACATGGGACTACCCATGCTCATGCCATGCATCGGGCTGCCGGTGATAGCTTGGGTGGTGTACGAAGCACCCTCTACAGACTGGGCGGCGCTGCTCATATAGGGTACAGGACTGTGCATTGTTGACCCAGACTGCATGCCGTAAACCGAACCTGACACCTCCGAGCCTGTGGCGGTTGCTTCGGATTCTGAAACAGAGGCGGACTGGGGGAAGCTGAAGCTGCCTGTCGGCTGGTGTGCGCCTGACGCCATACCTCCGTCTCCTCCTGCTCCTGCTGCTTCTCCTTCTCCTCCTGCTGCTCCTGCTCCTGCTCCTGCTCCTGTTGTTGCTGCTACTGCTTGATACGCATGGGCTGGCATGTACCCTTGGGCGGCAGCCTGGGCGGCAGCGCGGGCGGCATAAGCGGCAGTTGCAGCACCTGGAGTAAGATCCTGAGCTGCCCCTTGGGCAGCAGCCTGGGCAGCAGCCTGGGCGGCAGCACGGGCGGCATAAGTGGCAGCATATGCGGCAGTGGCAGCACCTGGAGCGAACTCGGTATAGAATGAAGAGGATGACGTGGCTTCAGCATCAGTACCCGTCACAGCAGAACTCGTTACTGATGAGGAGCGCGGATACATGGGTACAGTGCTGGCTGTTAAAGGACCAGTACCACCTGTTTGTACTGTAGACGGAGGAGTGTAGGCTGACTGTACTGTAGACGGTGCTGTACCCGATTGTGCTTCCCCGTTTGTGCTTGTACTCGTCGAGTCTCCATCCGTTGCAGTAGAAACCCTGCTTAATTCGCCTTCAGAAGGCGGCACTGTTGTTTCACCCGTTTGAAGGCTGTATGCGGAGGGTGTGTACGCCGACGTGGTGTATGTCGAGAATGGGGTGTAGCCCGAAGCGTACGGAGATGGAGTGTACGCGGCTGGAGTGTACGCTGCTGACTGGGTGTAGGCTGATGATTGAGGTCCGGGGGTATAAGCCGATGGAGTGTAGCCGGATTGGGTAGTGTAGCCAGATGGTGTATAAGCGGAGTATGGAGTGTATCCAGATGAGATGTACCCGGGGTAGCCTGCACCAGATTGCGCGTGCGCGGTATAAGAGGTGGTCGTCGAGATTGGAGCTGGATCCGAATTGTAAGTCGACGACAATGGCGAAGCTCGCGAATCCGTGTGCGACTGCGAAGTGGTTTCAGAGTACTGCGACTCGCTGTCGTCGCGACTAGACTCGGTGAGGCTCGACCCCGTGCCCTGGCGACCGATGCTCGCGATGTGGTCCGGAACGCCTGCCGAAGCAAGCACCGCGGCAGGGTCGGACGGCTGTGCAAGGGGCAAAAGCAGTGGCAAGAGGAAAAGTGAAGGGGTTGAATGAGGTGCTACCATGATGAGTAGACGCTTCTAAAAGCCAAATGAAGCCAAATCACAACGCGTCTATTCCAACAGTGGGGAAGGGCGGAGAGGGAGGAAGTCGGAGGGAGCTAGGGAGAGGAAAAAGGAGGAGGAGGGGGAGTGTTGCGTCCTTTTTCAATCAAAGATGATATTTTCATTCTCCAGATGTATTGTTGTGTGTAATCCGTTCGTGTATTTTAGACGGTTTGTGTAAATCGACTCACGAAGTAGCTGGGAGGGCCGTACGAAAGTCCAATCGGGTACGCCGCTGTTCCCCCCGCGCCCCCTCCTCCCACGCCACCGCCGCCGCCGCCGCCGCTCCCGCGCGGCTGTTCAATGTAAAGCTCATCCACGTGGGTCCCCAGCAGCTGCTTCCGCTTCTTCTCCCGCTCGTCCCTTATCCTTCTCGCGCCTGCTATTAACGCGTACTCGCCCATATCCATGACTTGTCTGCGTTTGTAGCCGCCCGGATAGTAGCATAGCTTGAACCACAACAAAAGAAGGAGCGTAAAGAAAATGCTCGCCGTGGTTATGGCGATTCCGAGAGGTAACTCTCCGGGCTTTATGAGCGGATCGAGAGTATCAGGAACGACATCTTGCGCAGACGCCATACTTTCACTTGGTTCTGCTCTAGATTGTCAAACGATTCAGTCTGTTGCTATGGAAGCATCCGAGGGAGTTAGGGCATCAGGGGAATAACATTCAGGTGACTACTAGACTTCACATACTTGCTCTGTAAGACATGGCTCCTAATACTCAAGGCCGTCGCCGCATTTTCAATCACACAGCTTTCGAATGTGAACACACGTTCGCGCATTCAACTTCACGTTCGGAGTAGAACCGAGGAGACACAAGAAGGTTACTGATCTACACGAAGCAAGAAAGGGAGCGAGTGAGGAGGGGAAGAGTATCATCTTCAGCTAGCTTTTGCTTGTGGATGCAGCAGGGGGAAAAAATCCGCGTATTGGTGGCGTAGGCTTTGGCTTGAGTGATTTTCTCCAGGGTTTTCGAAACCTAAGATGGTAACCGCATTCGCGCTGAGCCCCGGTTGGCCTGTGGCGATATTCGCGATATCTACAGCCAGCTGCGCTTTCCCTCACAGCCAGCCAGCTCGTGTTTCCACACACCCTCACACCCCCTGTTGTCCCGCACCGCATGTGCGACGCGAAAGTGTTGGGGAGTATGGCGAGACTCTGATTGGCCCGCACGAGAGGTTGCTTGCGAATTTGCTGAGTGTTGGGGCTGGAAGGACATCACAAAACACAGTTCGCGCACACGTAACCGTCCCTCCGCAACAATTCGCTAATCAGGAGTTACACAGTGAGTGCTACAACAGCAAAACAACCAACAAAAGTCCAACAAGGCAGCATACATAGCAGGTAACAAAGAGAAAAGGCTTCTGATGTTCTAATACACAGAAACTAATGTCCTAATCCACTCCCAACATTCAAAAACCTCTTAAATCTCCCTGAACTGCGCCATGGTTGGCAGGTGCCTCCCGCACGCTTTGTTCTGGCATCGTTGCTTCCTCGACGAGCTTTGCTCGCCACACACACACTCCTTCACCCACGTCCCTCCGGCAATCTGATACGCCTTAAAGCCATCCTTCTCTAATACCTCTCCAATTGGCTCCATTTTACCCTCCTCCCTTGCTTCCACCTCCCCCGTCGCCTGTCCCAATCCTGTAGCAGCTGCAAGTGGCAATGCGTCAGACCCAGCAGACGCAACATTTCCACCATCAGCATTGCCAGCAGTACCACCAGCAGTAGTGGTACCAGGACCAGCAGCAGTACTGGTACTAGGAGCAGCAGCAGCACCAGCAATACTGGAAGCAAACCCTGACCCCAAATCCTTCTTCCCATCATCATCAGAACTCCTGAACCCCTCTTTCTCCTCGCTCTTCACACTACCCATCGCTGCTACAGCCTCTGCAGCTGTCAAATCAGCACCCACCATACCACCAGTCTCGTTCAAGTCAACCCCCTTAGAATCACTCCTTGTAGAATCACTCTCCTTACCATCTACCCCCACCTTTGCTTTCTTCAATCCCTCTCCCTCACGCCTCTCCCATCTCCCTCTCGTTGCCCTTCCCTCCTCCCTATCCCCACCTCCACTTGCTCCCACACCCCTTCCCACACCCCCACCCCTCCCACTCCACAACTCAGGCGTTTTCTTAACCCAAGCCGCCACCTCAGCACCCTTCGCCACCAACAGCCTTGGCCGATCCTCGTCGCTCTGGAACGGCGACCCGAGCCTAGCCAGCTCCGGAACCACCGCACCTCTCAAATGCCTCTTCCTCGACCTCCCCACTCCAACCTCTATTTCCATCTCGCGCGGTAACCGCTTTCCCGCCTCCACCGCCCCTGCGACCAGCTCCAGCCAATACCGTAGCGCCACCTGTGCGCCGTGATAGGACAATCCCGAGAGATGCAGCGTCCAGCGCGGCCAATCGCGCGAGAACAGCCGGGCGATCTGACGCGTGCTGACCATGGCTTTAAGAACGGCGACGGCGGGGTCCCGGCGGTTGAAGAGGAAGAGCAGGGAGAGAAGGTTGTTGCAGAGGGGTTTCTGGTCCCTGGGGTGAACAGCTGCCACGGTGCGGTCTAGGAGCGTGGTGAAGAGGGTAGTGGAGTCTGTGGTTTGCTCTGCTGTTGCAGATTCTGTTACTGAATGTGTGTCGACTGCTGCTGCTGCTGCTGCTGCTGCTGCTGCTGCCACCGCTGCTCCCTGTTGCTGCTCCTGCCACTCTCTCCCCTTCCTCCTCCTTTACCTCCTTCTCTAGTGCCTCCCCCAACCCCACCACCACCAGCTCATGAATGCGCGGGTCAACCTCTTTCAAGCAGCCCAGGAGAAGCTTCCTCGCAGCTACCATCCCTTGCAATGCCCGCACAGGGGCATCAGTCCTCACCCTTTCAGTGCTCATTTCCTTGTCCACTTTGTCGGAATCTTTTCCGGGCACCTCCTGAATCTTTTTAGGGGAGGTGAAACCCAGAAGATCAAGGAAGACAATGGCCATGCGGGTGTCGGGTTCAATTCCTGCCGCGAGCATTTTTTTGAAGTAGTGTGCTGCGAGGTCAAATCGGCCCCCCTTGCCAAACCCGTGGATAATTGCTGTGTATACAGCCACTCCTGTCCTTGCTGCTGCTGCTGCTGCTTCCCCTGCTTCGTCAGCTTCTGCTGCTGCTGCTGCTGCTTCTGCTGCTGCCGCTGGTGTGGTTGCTGCTGTTGCTGCTGATGGTGATGTGGGGTTGGTTGATGATACTCCTGAAGGAGATTCAGAAGCTGAAGGAGCGGCAGGTGCCTTGGTAGTAGGCACCGCACTCAACCCACTCAGATCCACACCCAGACCACGATACTCCTCCGAACCTAACGCCCTACTTTGGCCACCGCTGCTGGTACTGCCGCCAAGATAAATCCCCGCTGCTCTCGCATCTGCTAGTAACGCCTCAACCTCCGCTACAGCCGGATCAGCTACAGCCAACCCCACCTCTCCCTCCTCCCCCCCCCGCCCGCCCTTCTCTGCAAAAAGCCCCGCCAGCTGCCTCACGCTGTTCTCAGTTAAAGCCACCCCGTCCCTCTTCATACCTGCATAAGCCCTCCTTGCTTCGGCCACCAATCCACACTCACGACACGCCTGCAAAATCACGCTGTAGAACGCCGCGTCAGGCCGAAATGGCCTGTCTTTCGCGCTCCTCCCGGTTCCGATTACCGTCCCGTCCTCGTTATAAGCCCGGCTCCCGTCCTCGTTATAAGTCCCCTTGCTAGCGAGATAAACCTCCCGCATCTCCTCAGCAAGCGGCAAAGCCTTATCCACCTCGCCCTTCTCCGTATAAAGCGCCATCATTATAGTCACAGCCTCTGTAGTCACAGGCACGTACGGGTCCTGCTGCATGGTTTTAAAGACGATTTCTGCCTGTTGATCGCGCCATGCCTTGGCGAGCACGTTTAGGGTTGCGTGGTACACTCCTGGGGTTACCAGCCGTGCGAAAGCTGGTGCTGCTGGTGCTGGTGCTGGTGATGTTGGTGCTGGTGACGCTGCCGGTGGTGCTGTTGTTGCTGATGCTGCCCCTGCTGCTCCTGCTGCTCCTGGCGCTGCTAACACTTTAGCTCCTCCGTCAACTGCTGCCTCATCCTCTGCCCTTTCCCCTGCTGCTGATGACAAAACTGCCTCCTCTCGTCCAGACTCAACCCCTTCGCTTCCCACCCCAACCCCCTCCTCTTCCCCACCACTCTCTCCCCCACCTCTCTTCCACACTTCACCCCCTCTCCCCCCCATCTTCTCATCCACCCTTTTCATCTCCGTCCACAGCTCATACGCCTCCTGCGGGCCCCCAGCCTCTCCAAAAGCGGTGATGATGGTGGCGTAGGTGACAGCATCAGGGCGCCACCCAGTCGCTCTCATGCGCTCAAAGAGTCTCACCGCGTCGCCCGGCCTGCCTGCGCGCCCCAGGGCGTGCATCACGGTTGCATATGACACTTGATCGGGCATGCACTCACTTTCGGCCATCTGCTGCAGCCACGTTAGAACCAGCTCATGTTGGTCCGCCCTGGTGTATGGAGATGCAGGGGAGAAGAGGGCAGGAGGGGAGGGAGTGCAAGGAAAGGGAGGCATGGGTGATGATGGTGGCGTAGGTGACAGCGTCAGGGCGCCACCCAGTCGCCCTCATGCGCTCAAAGAGTCTCACTGCGTCGCCCGGCCTGCCTGCTCGCCCCAGGGCGTGCATGACAGTCGCGTACGACACTTGGTCTGGCATGCACTCGCTCTCAGCCATCTGTTGCAGCCACTGCAGCACCAACTCGTGCTGATCGGCACTGTGTGGGATTGGGGGTAGAGACGGGGGAGAGGGGTTGCATGACTTGAGGTCTGCGCGCCCCAGGGCGTGCATGACTGTGGCGTAGGAGACTTGGTCGGGCATGCACTCGCTCTCAGCCATCTGCTGCAGCCAGCCACTGCAGCACTAGCTCGTGCTGGTCCGCGCTGGTGTGTGGGGGAAACAGGAGGGAAGGAGAACGGTGGTTTGAGCGTCGGTGTTGCCCGCCCGGCCTGCCCGCTCGCCCCAGGGCGTGCATGACTGTGGCGTAGGAGACCTGGTCAGGCATGCACTCACTAGCAGCCATCTGCTCCAACCACTGCAGCACCAACTCGTGCTGGTCCGCCCTGTGTGCATCAAGGCGTTTAAATCGATAATGTGTGTTAACACATACTTATCATGTATAAACTCATTATGAATGTGTGTATGCATGCACAAAAGATACGTAGACTAGACTACCACCAAACTACTTCATACCATACAGTGTGGCGGAGCTGATAATAGAGGAGTGAGTAACGTTAACCAGCTCCACACCCCCTTGGAGTCATCTCCGTTATAAGATCCCTCACCACACGTACCGTGTGGCAGAGCTGATAATGGTGGAGTAAGTGACGTTATCCAGCTCCACGCCCGTTTGAGTCATCTCCGTTAGAAGCTCCTTCATTCGCCCCCACTGCCGCCCCTTCCCCAGCGCCGCCAGCACCAGATTATAGACGTACGTGCTTGGGCGAAAGGACTCCTGAAAGGAAAGGGAGAAAGGGTGCGGGAAGTCGGGGAAAGGGGAGAAAGGAAAGACATAAATGAGACGAGCAGACCGGAACACTCTCTTCCCTTCCCCAGCGCCGCCAGCCCCAGATTATAGACGTACGTGCTTGGGCGAAAGGACTCCTGAAAGGAAAGGGAGAAAGGGTGCGGGAAGTCGGGGAGAGGGGAGAAAGGAAAGACATAATTGAGACGAGCAGACCGCAACACTCTCTTCCCTTCCCCAGCGCCGCCAGCATCAGAATATGGACATATGTGCTGAGCCAAAAAAGCTGCCGAAAGGGAACGGAGAAAGCATGTGTGGGGAGAGGGGAGAGGGAGAAAAGGAGAGGGATGAGTGAGATAAGCTGCCAGCAACACTCACTGCCCTTCCCCGGCGCCGTTTTGAGAATTCTCAAAAGTGATCTTCAGCGCCCCCAGCACCAGGTTGCACCGAGCTGAACCTGATCGCACCGCTCCGTACCTGTTTCCTCGCCCAATCAAAGAACGCCACGGTCATTCGCCAATCCGCCGTTTCGAGCAGCACCGTCGCCACGTCCCTCCCCGTCAGCGACTCAAAAACACCTTTCTGCGTCGACACATGCTTGCACCGAACCACACCTGATTGCACCGAGCAGAACCTGATGGCAGCGCAGCGTACCTGTTCCCTAGCCCAATCGAAGAACGCCACGGCCATGCGCCAGTCTCCCGTTTCGCGCAGCACCGTCGACACGTCCCTCCCCGTCAGCGTCAGCCCCAGGCGCTCCAGCCGTTGCGCCACCCGCGCGCTCCCCCGATCCCTTCCCCCATCCCTCCCCCCATCGCTCCCCCCATCCTTCCCCCCATCCTTTCTCCACTTATCCACGACTACCGCGCGCCGATCTCCCGCGCTTTCCTGCGCCAGCACGTCTAGGACCTGCACCACGCGCGGCGGAAAGAACGCGCGCGCCCACGCATCTCCCCCCCCCTCGCCGCTACCGCCGCCAGAAGCGGAAAACGGAGCAGCTTGAAGCGGGTCAGAAATCGGCGCGGCTGGAGCGGCGCGGCTGGTGCGCGAGCGAGCAAACTGCGGGTTTTTCAGTTCTCTTGGAGAGGCGCCTCGAGAACTCCCGTCTCCTCGTCTATAGACGTCCTTACTTTTGCTCCTATCGGAAGGGCTAGAGGAGCGGCTCCAGGAACGATCAGAAGGGAAACGATCAGCAGAGGACCGATTCTCGGCGGAACGCGGGATCTCCCGTCTCCTGTCTCCGCCGCCAGTCCCGCTGACCCGACCGCCGTTCCCCGCGCGGCTCCAGACGCGACTCCCCCCACGACTCCCGCCGCGACCCCCCCCGCGGCCAGCAAAGTCCCCGCCACGACCGCCCAACCCTCCCCGGCTGCGACCTCGGTTAAACCCTCCCGATCTGCTAAACCCGCCCTGCCGTTGATTCCTATCAGACCCCTCGTCAGACGATCCCTCAGAACTTCGTTCGACATTTCGCTCAACATTTCGCTCAAATTTTCGCTCGCTGTCTGGTGAACTCTCGACGCTCGCTCTTGCTCCGGCAGTCTCGTCCCCGTTAGAAGCAGCAGGCGCTTTCCTGTTAGGAGATGTCGGATCGGAAACAGCTACGCCAGTCGAACCGGCCTCCCCCGATTCAGTCACACTAGCCCGTGTAGTCACATTCCGTTCAGTCACGCGGGCTTTAAACCCTCCGGATCTAGCAGAATGCACGAGAGGACGCAATAAAGCGGTACGGTTGAAAGCAAGCGAAGCCGACGAATGTCGCAGACTCGGGTATTCCAATGACGAGGTATAACCTGGTAACGGAAGCACTCCTCGCGAAAGAACCACGGCCCCAAAAGGAGCCATTTTGCTTTAACAACCCAAACGCACTAAGCGGATTCCACGGGTAGGAGACTCGAGCGCGACACAGGAAACAGCAACGCGTAGAGCTCTACTGCAATGGTGTCGCTAGTCGCAAAAGCAGAGCTGCTTTAGGAAGAGAATGAGGACAGATGCTGAGAGGAGGGAGAGCAGCCTGGTTCCAACGTACGCGAGTGTTTTGATCGGTAACAAAAGGTTCCGGATCTCGGTACATAGAATCTCAAGAACTGTAATCTTATAAATAAATGTTCTCAGTCCTATGTGCAGAATATCTGTATCCCTACCAACTCCTGTCAAACATTTGCATTGACAAGGCTCCTTTCAATAAGAGCTATGCATTGACCAACCGACTAGCCATTCAGCATGGCAAGCGCCAACTCTTCATGCACCTCTTTGTGGCGCAGTATGGTTGCCACGTTCAATACTGCCCATTTCTCCCTAATGCTAAGCATTAGCTTAGATTGAAGAGTCGGTAAGAAGTTGGAATTGGTTGCTTGCGAATATCCAGCTTTATCTATGTATTATAGCAAATTCTATTTGGCGTCTTCGCCTCCCACCTAGACTGCGCAAGAAGGGTGCCCACCGCACCACATCGTCCGACTTTTGCTGTGTAAATCCCAGCGACTTATACAGAAAGTTCAAATACTCTCCTTCAAACATCTGCATTTATCAGGCTCCTTTCAATAAGAGCTATGCATCGGCCGACTGACTGGCCATTTAGCATGGCAAGCGCCAACTCTTCATGCACCTCTTTGTGGCGCTGCAGTATGGTTGCCACGTTCAATACTGCCCACCGCACCACATCGTCCGACTTGCTCTGTGTAAATCCCAGGGACTTGTACAGAAAATCCAACTGCAGACGAAAAAACGAATGAGTACACGGCGCATAAAAGGGATATGGTACGTTTTTACGGAAGCGACTTATACAGAGAGGAACAGGAAAGTGAAACACATGGTTAAGCATGATTGACACTGTGAAACTCGGTTGTACTGACACGTTAAGAAACCCAGTACCTGTTGAATGTCAGAAATGCCACCTTCAGCAACCCCGAATTGCAGGTATTCGGCGCAAACTCCAGCCAGTGCCACACAAGAAACAGCATCCAGCATCTGAATAACATATGTAGGAAGTGCAGGAGTGACAGGGAGGGATAGAGGTGAATTATAATCACACTGATTAGGAAAGCAAATTGGCTCTTCCAAAATGTACAGGAGTCCACAGAAATGGGAAAAAAAAAGGTGTGAGTAAAGTAGAACCAGTTTTTTTATGTACGAAAAGCATACAGGAAGAGAACAATGAATAACAGTTATTCCTTACACATTTAACAATAGAGAAAACTGAAAGTGAGCACCAAGAAAGTTGTGCCTGATTGCACTTTCGCAGAACCGTACTGCCAATACCCATCCAGAGCGGTGACCAAAAAAACCCTCATATCTTACATCGGATTTGATTTGCCGTGTCCTTGTCTGCTTCTGAAAGTCCAGATCCAAAAAGGTGGTGCCAGCCTGCACGTTGAGAGCCCCGTACCGCCGATAGGCGTCCAGGCTGGAAAGAGTGAAGCCGCGTGGAGGGATGCCCACCAGGTAGGAGATGAGGAAATGCCCTGCCTCGTGCTGTGTGGGAGGGGGAGGGGAGGGGGAGGGGGAGGGGGAGGGGGAGGGGGAGGGGGAGGGGGAGGGGGAGGGGGAGGGGGAGGGGGAGGGGGAGGGGGAGGGGGAGGGGGAGGGGGTGGGGGGGGTAGGGGGTTCGGAGGTGACAGATGGAAAGGGAGAGAGTGAAGGCGCGTGGGGTGATGCCCACCAGGTAGGAGATTAGGAAATGCCCTGCCTCGTCTGTGAGGACGGACGGGGGGTGAGAGGTGGGGTGGGATAGTGAAGCAGGTGGGTGGGAAGGTGAGAGAGTGAAGGCACATGGGGGTACGCCACCAGGTAGGATATGAGGAAATGGCCTGCCACGTGCAGTTAGGTGAGAGGGGGTGGGAGGTGGGATAGAGAGCGAAGGAGGTGGGAGGTGGGAATGTGAGAGAGTGGAGCCGCAGGGGGGGATGCCAACCAGGTAGGAAAAAATGCAATGCCCCTCCTCGTGCTGTGGGATGGGATGGGTGGAGGCAAGCGAGGTGGGACAGAAGGTGCAAGAGTAAATCCATGTGCCTCTTGCCGCCGGTTGGGATGGTGGTCAGAGGTGACATGGGAGTGGAGGGAGACTAGAGGAGAGAGACAGAAAATTCATAAAGCAGTAGCATTCGCACAAAAAGAGGATGGAGCTGCTGTGGGAGTGGAATGGGGCAAGGAGGGAGAGGTTGGAGAGGTGCAATTACCACTAGGCCGCTATGCTAATAAAGAGCATGTCATTACACAGCCAAAATGACAGGAAGAATATGTCGAGAGTGGGATTTGAACCCACGCCCTTTCGGACTGGAACCTTAATCCAGCGCCTTAGACCAACTCGGCCATCTCGACTTGCTACTATAGAAAGCTTCCTTAAATCGCTAGACTTCGCGTTCTGACCCCTTATTGTCTGTGGGCTTTAATTTTTCTTCAGCATGTCTTGTTCCTGAATTCACACTACCGTTTCTGCAGAAAATCACTAGAAAAAGAACACCCTCCACCATGCAGTGCTTAAGCTTTTCCATGCCTCCACTCCCCCATCCCCTCCTCACTCCTCCCAAGTCTGCTGAACGCAAGCTCAACTAAAAGTTCCCGAAACCCCTCATACCATTATACGTTAATATCACACTCACCAGAGCAACTCGTCGGCGATAGGTGGGTTTCAGCAAGTTCCCCAACGTGTCCACCAATAGGGCCTCGCCACCTCCACCAGTTGATATCTGCTTAAACAGTTGGATTTACAAAGTCAGCAAAAATAGAGCTGAACGGGTAAAGCAACCCGTTAAGAGTTACACATGATTAACATAAGACCTGGAGGTGATACCTCTAAACTAGGCCATGTGGAACAGGGGAATCTCCTTGATGTGCCCATATCTGCCATAATACCCGCTTTGGATGCTCTCCAAAATCTACAGTCGGCCGGCCATATCCCACCCCCGCTACAGTGTCCCACCTGGTCGAAAGTGCCGATGAACAGTAACCCGATGACCAGCCCCAGCAGCTGCCATTGGTCCAGGTGTTCGCCCCACCACGTGGCAACCAGCCCTGCCAGCAGCGCCAGCTGGCCTGCCTGCCTCACGCCTGTTAGCGTGGTGTCTCTAGGCGCCAGCATGCGAGCAGGGTCAATGTAGTGTAGCTTCAGCTCCTCTATCGAGTATGACCGCCGGGGAACCTACGAGAGGAAGTAAAGGGGAGAGGGAGGGGAGGGAGGAGGGAGGAGGGAGAGGAGCGAAAGTGTTGGTTAGCGTTGAGCGATTGTCTTGCGCCTGCTTGCGCCCTTCAGGCGCCAGCAGCGTGTGCGTGACAGCGTAGAGAGCAAGCCCTCCACTGCCTCCAGTTCGAGCGCAGAAGGATCTTTATAGTAAAGAGAAAAAAATCAGACGAGAAGTTACGATATTTCAGTTAAGACATAGCTAAGATAGAATAAACTGTGGATAAAATCAGAAGTCGAACCATCCCTCACCTGTCTAGCTGCACCGAAGGCTCTCAGAACCTTCCCGTCCGCATCTTGCGGGCCTGCACCGTCCACAGCCTCGTTCGACCTCCTAGGTTCATTGGATTCACTGAATTCACCCGTTCTTCCAGCGAGCCGCTTCACGAGCGCAAGCGCCTGCTCCTCCTTGCCTTCCGCCAGCAGCGCGTCGAGTTCCGCCGTTCCGCGGCTCAGCCGCGCCTCCCACGTCTCACTCGCGGAACTTCCGTCCCGCGAGCCAGAAACCGCCTGAGACCCTGTGCTTGCAGCTTGAGCAGAAACTGACAGTCGTCCACGGAAATTAAGAACTGGAGAAAGCGATGAAACCGAGGGGGAAGAATTTGTCCGAATCAGGTGTCGGGTGCTATCAGAAGCTGTGCATCTCCTTTGAAATGGAAGTACCACAGTTCCAGTCGACAAATGCTTAGGCGTGAAAGAATCTCTACGTAAAATGGAAGTCCTGGTCAGATTGACCCGCAAAGCCAGCGTATCCATTACCATAGAAGGTAACGAACGCAAGAACGGTACTACACTAAAGCAGCAGAAGCCTTGACCAAGATCTAATATCTAGGCTGGAAAGAATGTCTGAATGCAGAGTTGTGAATTCGAGTCTGTATGACAGACTACTGCGAAAACGAGCTTGCATGCACAACAATAAAATCCGCGTTTGGGGCGAATGTGATAGTCGTTCAAGACAAGTGAAACACTTCAGTAGAAGTTACCCATCACATTTGTGCCCTGCGTGCCCACAAATTCGCTCAAGCCATGTGTGCTTCGAAAATCAGTGCCGCGTGGCTGCTTGTGGCGGTGCCACCCCGTGAAGACCACGTCAGATGCAAGCTTCATGAATGTTCTCGTTAGTAGCTTTGTGTGTGCTTTCGGCAAGCACGGGAAGTTGACTTTGTACAAGAAATATTAACGTTTTCGTGTTACAGAACGGATAATGTTCATCCATCATCGCTGGGCTACGGCTGGTCACTGCTCCTGCGCGGTGGGGCTTGTTCCACTTTCAGACCAGAAACTCATCACCTCTTCAGTGTTGACACGTCACACCCCATCAGCACTACTTCAAAATTCGGGAGGCAGGTCCCCTCAGGCGTTTCCCGCCTTCACTAGCGCCATATTACTGGGGAGCATTCTCAGTGCTAGCTGTCAACCATTCATACGTGATCGAGTTGACTAGGACATTGTGAGCCACTCCATGGAGACTGCTTAGAAGACATGTGTGTTCCTACCCCCAGTAATCGAAGCTCAAACTCCGCCATTGGCTGAATTACACGAACCACTCATTCTCACGTGGTGCCACGCAATTAGCCAATAGGAAAACGTCTTGCATGCTAATCGCCGCGTGTGGCTCTGAATGGAGAAGCTTTTAGCGACTCGCCGTAACACTAGTGGCTCATCAGCACTGAAAAGCCGTTCCGCTTGGTCGAGGAGCTTCAAGCCTTTCCAAGCGCCTCTGCCATTGGTGGAGGGGGGGCCTCCCGCGGGGTATCCATAGGGGGGTAGCGCTGTGCGGAAACCGGTACGAGTCGCTGGGCAGAGATAGCTAGCGAAAGGGGCCAGCGGACCTGGTCGAGACGCGCGGGCGCAAAGCAATCCCCTCTAACCCTCCGATTCGCGCCACGCAAATGCGATGCAATGCATCTGTGTGGCGGAAGTGGTGCGAATGGATGGGAAGCAGGGAATGTGCAAAACGGTTCATCCCGTTGTCGAATGTTTTCCAATGCAACGCGAGTCAGTTGTTGGCAGTCGAATGAGGTATTTATCTACTCACTGCCGCCTTTCACTGCACGCTCCTGTTCACTGCTGACACTCTTGTGGTCTTTAAACTTGGGCTTCATTGCTGTCCGCAGTGCTCCTGCTTCGGTGACTGACTCCCTCTTTCCTGTAATTGTTGTGCGTCGGTGCAACAGCTGATCGGGAAATTATAACTCCTGAATTGGCGGACATGGCTACAACGATAAACGACCTCCCCGAGAACTGCATCGCCACAATTCTCTCCTTCCTCACTCCAGCGACCGTCGGTCGCGTCGCGTCAGTCTCAAAGCTCTGGCTATCAGCGGCCAAGTCGAGCACCTGCTGGGACAAGCTCATCGCAAATGGCCTTCCATCATGCTTTCGCGAAACTCCCGCGGCGCTGGCGAAAGACGAGAGAGGCCTTCGTGAAGCTCTCGGCGAAGGCCTGATGCTCGGCGACGGGCGTTACCACATCCAGGTGGACCCTGCGACGTCGCTCATCACCGTGAGCGTCAGCGTCGCTCAAGTCTTCGACATTCTGTGGGAGGATCGCGACCAGGATCGCATGCGCCGGCACGACATCACCGGTGCGATCTTCGACGACGCGGTGCAAGGAATCGTCGTCCATTGGCTGAGCACCTGCGGGAAGATCGATCTCCCGTTTAAACTCCACAGTGGATACTATCGCATGTCGTGGCGCGTCGCACAGGAAGAGGGCGGGCCGCGGAGATCTACAAGCCCGAAGCGCAGATTTATGCGGTCCCAGGAAGAGCCTTTGATCAGTCAAGTGCGCGATGCGACGAGTGGATACGTGGAGCAGCACGATCTTGACGGAATCCGCCAGATGATTTCAACCACGCCCACGTGGACTCGCATGCCCGCGGGGTTTTTGCGAGTTGGCGACGGGGGAGCTTCGGGTAACGCGTCGTCGCAATTCGCGAACGTTCGCTTAATTTCGACATTGACGGATATTTCGCGACAACGGCGGAAGCGCGGTCTGTACCTGGACGCGTTCGTATTGGAGCAGATTTCTATGTAACCTCAATTTCCAAAGCAGCGACTCGGTTTTGATTGGCTTCCACCTGAAGTGGCGACGTACTACCCAGAAACGCGCGAAAAGTGGCGTGGTGGGTCCTACTTCGCACGGCATGGTTACCACTTCGACGTTCTGCGAATCGACCACCCGAGTGAGTTCAGCGGTGCGGGTGTGTGCATACCATAAACTTCCAACGCGAAAGGGAATAACAGACATTCGAAGTGGAAAGCACGCGAGGCATGAACTGGGAAAGATTGACAGCGGGCGAGCGGGGGTGGAGACGGGACAAAGGGGTGGGAGAGCAGGGGTATCAGGAGCGGAAGACAGCGAAAGGAAGACAATTTATGGAGATTGACAGATTTTCGAGGTTGGTTGGCCTGATCATGAGGTGCGACCTGATCAGGGGTGTATTAGGGGGAACTTCCGTGATGTATTAGAGGAATAGGGTAAAGGTAAATCAGAGGGAGTGGAGGGATTGAGTACTCGCGAAGCAGGGAGCGCGAAGCTGAGGCAGGGTTCATGTTGCTGGAGTGCCTGCAGAGGCAGAAGGCAGAATTGAATTGAGACCCTAGCAGCAGACAGAGGGGCCTCATCGTTTTGGCGTCATAATTGGAGTTTATGAGGGGCGTTTGCAATTTCGGGTTCGGGAAATGGTCATTAGGCAACCATGAGGACCTCCGGAGAAAAGAGGCGGAGGTCACCGCAAACAACATGATTCCTAGAGTTCCCGTTGTGCTGTGGGCAATCATCGATGGTTGTGTTGTGGAGCGGATGGGGAACTGTGGAGTGCAATTTGGAGCAAGAATCGGTCGGAACGGAAGGGGGGTTCGAATTTCCCCGCCCGAGCCAGCAGGAACCGACGGAGTTCGTCAAGATTCGTCAGCAGCAGCAGACGTCAGTGATGCACTGCATTCGCATCTTCTTCAGAGTTTCGCCTCGGTATTAGTGCAGTGTGTGTTCTGTACAGTCTAACCCAGGTGGCGAAGTCACCTATCAAGCAGCTGACTTTAGTTGTTCAACTAGGGGTTAGAAAGGGCTTTGTTGTTTGTGTGTAACCTCTTTGAAACTCTTTAGTGTGCGCTAGATTTATCAACTAAGGAGCAGCCCATCTAAGTACATGGTCATATAACACCTTGCCCATGCTGTTGGAATAAGGAACAATCATGAATACTTCTACAATGGCGAAGGAACTTTTCAGGGTATGTTTACAGCCATTTGCTATCTGAATATAGCTGGCATCTCTCCTCTTGCAAGCATCCATGCTTGCTTCATTCTTAAGTAACCGCCCCTCCACTGATCCCTCTCTTTCCTAAGCCACTGCAGCTGCTGCCTCTGCACAAGCACATGTCTCACAGCAACACATGCAAGCAGAGCAGCAAGTGGCAAGCAGAGAACCCACACAGGCACCACCGCCACTGCCTGACAAGAACAAGTTCTCCAACATGTTCTCCTGATCATGCTCCTGCTGATGCTTTCTGCTAATGTTCCGTTGCACCTATGGCAGGCATTGCCAGCAGTGGCAACAGCAGCAGATAGAAGCGGGCCGGCAGCCGCAGCACCAGGGGCAGCCGCAGCACCAGGGGCAGCAGCAGCAGGCGGAAGGGGAACAGGAGGAAAAAACAGAGGAGGTGGAGAAGGAGCAGTGTGTGTTGCTTCTGTTGGTCTCATGAACCCATAGGCATTCTCAGTCAACTCAAACATCATCCGGGCTTGCTTCTCATCCCAGCAGGTAGCACTACTGGCCCTGAACCGTTCTGTACCGCTGGTTTCTACAGCGATTTGAACTGAGTCCGCCCCAAACCTCCTCTCACACTCTCCTCCGTCCTGTTTCCTCTCCACCACATGCCACTCGTTATCGTCACATCCCATTAGCTCACACTCCAATCGGTCCCTAGCCTCCTCCCCACCTTCCATCGCCCACTCCTGCTCCGCATCCCACCCGCCACATAACTCCCACTCCAATCCACCTCCACCCCATTGGTCACGCATCGTGCCATCCGATGTGACTGTGACCGAGCCCCACGCGTCTGCTAATTCCCTCTCCGATCCCCATCTACCCCAATGGTAACGCATCTTGCCATCCGATGTGACTGTGACTGCGTCCCATGCGTCAGGTGGTTCCCACTCTGATCCGCGTCTGGCCCAAGGCGCATCATACGTCCAGGTGGAGTGACCATTTTCGCCTGGTATCTTGCTATCCGACCCAGACCATTTGTCAGGTATCTTGCCATCCGATGTGACTCTGACCGATTCCCATGCGTCTGCTGATTCCCACTCTGATCCCCCTGCACCCCATTGGTCACGCATCTTGCCATCCGATGGGACTGTGACTGTCTCAGAAACAGTCATATGATAGTCAGTCTCAGGAGCAGTGCTCTGAGTGGTGTCAGGTGCACGCCCAAGAACAAGCTCCCACTCTGTTGGCTCTAAAAACGCGGGGGAAAACAGCGGCTCCGCTGGTGAAGGACATTGTGATACCAACGGGAGTGCTATCGGTGAGTAGTTTAGGTTAGCACCGTGCGAATCATTGGGGGAGAGAGAAACGGAGGAGGGGGGACGATGCGGCGTATGCGGGAGGGCGCGCGGAGAGGCGGAGGCCTGGGTTGGCGGAAGGGGAGCCGCTGCGAGCGGACTTGCTCCTCGGGGAGCGGGTTCCGCGGAGGGCTCAACCCGCTTCGCGGCTGTAAAGTTCCCCCGATGCTCTGCGCGCGGAGTGGATTCCGCGGAGATTTCGCGCTTGAGCGGGCGCGTACGCCAGGAGGAGGGCAACGGGCTGCTGAGCCACGCTCTGTAGAGATCCTCGAGATCAGTATCCTCGTTAGAAGACTCTCCGATATCGTCGTTATCGTCGTCAACTTCACCGACGTCGTCGTATTCGTCTGAGGTGCTGCTATCCGCGCTATAGTCATCATCGTCGTCAAGCTCACATACAGACGAGTCACGCGTTATGCTGCTGCTGCTAGGCGCGTTCATCTGGACAGAACCATCACACTTTCTCCTCCTGTCGACAGATTCCGTGAGGCCTTTCCAATGCTCCGCCATCGTAATGTTGTGCGCAGCAGGACAACTAGTGCACTATCAAGAAGATGACGGATTTCAAAGGCCCCGTTAATAGCAGAGTATGCTGCTGACGTTGCGCTAGTTCATGGTGGCTATGATTTTAGTTGCAACACTGTATCTGGTTTTGACATTGTTTGTTATACGGTAATTGCGCAAATGTTGCAGAAAATCCACTGGCAATATGCACAATCACAACAGGCATGGTAAAACAGTACGTACATGTCTACACCCCCAGCATTGCAGTGAGTCCAGTGAGGTGCTGTACCTTGCTGGACCCACCCATGTTAGGTACTACCTTGGAATCCAAGGTAATGCCTTTCAACCCACCCACGTGGAGACACTGCCTCCACGCGGGCAGCTGAGTCCAGTGAGGTACTGTACCGAGCTGAACCCATGTGAGGTACTACCTTGAATCAAGGTAATACCTTATGGACTCACCCACCCACGATTACATGGGTGGGAGCTGGGCAAATACCAGGTCTGGCTGTGTCGCTAGCTCTAGCTTGCCCAGCTGGAGTAACTGAATCTTATCACAACTAAATCACAAAAATGATGTGCGATCTGGCAAAATAGGAGACCCAGCATACGCACAGGAGCATAAAGCCCCTACACCGTCTGCTGGGGTTAGAACCAGAAGCGAGATGACTCCTGGCTGCCAGACCGCCTGGAAATAGCATCCTCCCACTCTAAAAACGAAGCCTAAAAAACGAAGAACCGCAAGCAGAACGTCAGAACGTTGCTGTGGCCAGAACCTCCTGTACTGTGCAGCATCCCCCCTCACACGCATCGACACAGCATCACGCCTTGGAGAACGTCCATACTGCCTCGCGCCCAGCCGCCCCTCCCGCTCTACAGCCCCGTCTGGTGCTTCAGGTGCCGCGCCTCTTTCTCCCCCGCCGCGCCCATCTTTGCGCCCGCCACCTTCTCCTCCTTCCCCACCTCCGCGCTCGTCTTAGTCGCCGCCTCCTTCGCGTCCGCCGCCTCGTGCGCGCTGTGGCTGAACGGGTGGCTCGCCTTGTCGACAGTCTCCTGCGTTTCTGCCTTGCCCTTTCCCAGCATCTCGCCGCCCTTGGCCTTGGCCTCGGTCATTCTCTCCTTGGTGGCGGTACCGAGATCGCCGAGCTTCTCCTTTATGGTCGACATGACGGCTGCGTGAGTCGCGGACGGAAGCAGAAAATCGGCGCTTGGGAACTGAATATTCGAAACGACGTAGAAAGATTGAGAGAGTCGGAAGAATGATGATTGAGATCGAAAGGCCTCACTGGTACCGATTAGTGGGAATGCGTGCGTTATGAACGACGAAGGACGCCTTCGAGAGCAAGTCAGCATCGAGCCTACGCAACTATCCCTCTGCTGTGCGTCGCGTGACGGATTCGGAGCCGCGATGATTGAGACAAGACGAGTCGCCAATTGTCGGTTGATCCCGAATCGAGGCGCTTCGAGCCAGCACATTGTAACTCGAAAGTGAGAACCACCACGTCAGATCGACGCATTTTTCCCGATTCCCGTCGAAGAGACACGTCATGCTGCAGCCTAGAAGCACCGCGCGAACGGTTTCATGCCAACGTCTGGTATTTGACATACGTGTCTACAAGTAGACATTGAAAAGGCTGAGTCGCTAAAAAGCGACCCCAGCTCAATTCGCGAGTTCCTACGGGCCCGCATTCGCCCGTGGTTTACTGTTCCTGCTCGTATGATCCTCTGACATCCCATGCCGCGCTCCACAGGCGGCTCCAGCTAGAAGGCACTGATATAATTGGCCTTGTTTTCCGCTATTTCCGCTGCTCCAACTAATTTGCCCCCCTGCTTCGGTGATCTTGGATTTGACGAATTGCAGGATTGCACTTGCAGCTGGCGGCTATGTTGCATGGGAGGACACGTGGGGGAAGCGGGAGCTGTCGGAGAGAACACCCTATAAGCTGATCCTTACTGGGTAATACGCGGGATGGACAGATATGGTTGTGTCACATTGTACAGCTATTGTTCAGCTTTTTACCAAAAGGTGCCGCATGACAGGCATTATGGCCTCTCATATCTTCGTTGTTCTATTGATCAGCCCCAACAACGGTATGGGTTTTATATTAAACAAATATGCCTTATGTGAGATTGGCAAACATTAGGTGTTTAGACAAAATGTCTTGCTGACACCAGGGTCGGACAAAAGATGGTCAAACTATAGTATGTAGCCCTAAGCATAAGCATGGTTTGAATGGTTGGTTCGGTTTTGGGTACAATATACACTACCCTTAATAAGGGAATGTACCGTAACCATCAGTACATGACTTAGTTTGGACAGAACCGTAACCATTCCCTTATGTACTCATATACAACCCATGACTTCCTCTTACACCACTTATGTCATTTTACCTTCACTATGACAGTTGCCACATACACTGCCATTCCGCTGCTGCAATAAGGGCGTGTAAAATCGGGAACTCCAAAAATTCGGCCACAATCCGTCGGGCCGTTTCTGCGAAAGTAACCAGTTTGCGACGTTCGTTTCTCAAGTGGCGACAGTCGTTAATTTCGCAAAAATTTTACGAATTTGATGGCTGTTTAGAATGTCGACAGGAAAACGACGCCGAGTCGACTCCAAAACGGCCAGGCAGTCGACACATTGTGCGACAGTCGCCTGCGACGTCGTACAGTTACCGTAATCTCCCGGATACAGTACCCCCCCGCGGAGAAGACCCCGGGTCCTCTTTCCGGACCAAGGGTCTTTTATTCCGACCTGTTCTCGTGAGGACCCCCCTTTTTTAAATATATATTTTAAGACCCCCCTCCTTCGTCAAATTTTCAAATTAATGTTATATTCTTAACGAATCTGGGGGGTTGGTGATGCTCGGCTGACTCGTCATCAGGCACAAAACGGTGACGCGAGACAGTTTCGCGTCGAATTCCAGTCAGGATTCGATTTTGCGTGGATTTTACTGTTGAGATTCGAATCCGCGTCAGGGGAAGAATTCAACACCCTCGGTAAAAGCTTGACTTTCCAGTGCTATGAGTGAATACATTGTGCTCTATGAATTCTTAATGTGTTCAGGGGTCTTAGTAAATATGCCCCTTGGTATTGTTCACCTAATCATTATTCATAACATTTCTGATAAGACCCCCGGGTCCTATATACGGGAGATTACGGCATGTCTAACGACAGAATTTGTGATCTCGTCAAATGAAAATTATCGTCGTCAACTGTGCGACCCCGTCGTACATTCTCAAGTACTGTAGTAACTGCAAATTTTACAAATTTTCTCGAACCGGGCTGCAAAGCGGCCACCAAAGTTGTAAAATCGCCAAAATTGTACATGGTGGCTGTAAAAGAGTCGACCGTGATTCGGCCACCTCGTCGTTGTTCGCGAAAAATATGACGACCATTTGGTCGTCGGAAACCCGGCCAAACCCCATTTTCAGAATTGCGCGGGGATTTTACACGCCCTAAGGCCGATTAGGGGGGTCATGCAACACACTTCTACTCTTCGTTTGAACAATAGTAACGCAATGACCACTTCTTGTTGAATGGTTAAAGCCAGCAGCTAAAATAGTGACCCCCCCCTTCTAGTTGGGTCCACTTGAAAACACAAACAGGTTTGTTACAAACGTTTGAAAAGCTGACGTGCTGTTCGTTTTGATTATTTTTCATCCCTGACGAGTCTTGATGAGAACGGGGAAAATGTGGAACTTGTGAACAAATCTGATTGGTGGCGACTTCCAGCCACACTCGTGAGCAAATTTGGCGCAAGGTTGCAATCCCCCATTCACAAGAGCAGCCGTCAAAACTTCACCAGAATTCCCATATGCAAAAACCATCGTACACACAAGCAAAAACCAGCGCGCACACAGGCAGAAACTAGCAAAAACATGCGCGAACGCTGGCAAAATCAGGCTAAATCCAGCGCAAACATAGACATAGTCAGCGCACACACAGGCAAAATCAGGCAACAAGGAGAAAATAAAAGAATGAATGATGTACGAGAACGGTTGCGATGGGGAGAGAGGAAGGGCGTCGGGTCGGTTGATTGGTTGACAGCGGAGGCGAAGAGAAGGGACTGGGGACAAGGGGGGCGATGGGAGGGGAGGGGAGAGAGGGGGAATGACGGGATGGGAGGGAAGATAGGAGGAACGACGCGATGGGAGGGGAGAGAGGAGGAACGGCGGGATGGGAGTGGAGAGAGGAAGAACGATGGGATGCGGGGAGGGAGGACAGATTGTGAGAGGAGGGGAGGAAGGGCGCGGAGAGGGAAGTGCAGAGCAAGAGCGAAGGCGACGGGGTGGGTGATGAACCGGGTGGATACGATGGCCGATTGGAGAGCGTCTTAGAGATGAATGATTGGGGAGAAGAGGTGAAAGGCGACGGGAACGCACTTCGGGGCAAGCACGAGAGCGACGAGGTGGGTGATGCGAAGGGAGAGAGGAAGGGCGCAGGGAGCGCGTTTGAATGCGACAAGAAGGCGACGAGGGAGGCGATGGGAGGAGAAAGTGGGTGGGGGACGGGAAGGTGTTTCGTGGCGAGAGGAATTTGCGACGACTGCTTCTAGGGCGACGGGCAGGGAGCGGCGAGAGAGAGAGAGAGAGAGAGAGAGAGAGAGAGAGAGAGAGAGAGAGAGAGAGAGAGAGAGAGAGAGAGAGAGAGAGAGAGAGGCACCTTAGCCATCCCTCTGCTTCCTCCCTCTGCCCTCTGCCCTCGGGCCTATTTAAGGGCTGTTGTGTGCTCTGGATCCTGATTATTTCGTGTGGGCTTCAACTTTCCCATCGGCTAGAGAGAGAGCGAGAGAGAGAGAGAGGAACCTTAGCCATCCCTCTGCTCCCTCCCTCTGCCCTCTGCCCTCGGGCCTATTTAAGGGCTGTTGTGTGCTCTGGATCCTCATTATTTCGTGTGGGCTTCAACTTTCCCATCGGCTAGAGAGAGAGCGAGAGAGAGAGAGAGGAACCTTAGCCATCCCTCTGCTCCCTCCCTTTGCCCTCTGCCCTCGGGCCTATTTAAGGGCTGTTGTGTGCTCTGGATCCTCATTATTTCGTGTGGGCTTCAACTTTCCCATCGGCTCGCGCCGGCGGCCTTCGGCCGCCGCCGCTCGCGAGCGCGGCCTGCGGCCGCGCGTTTCGGGTGGCAAGGCACTCAAGCAAGAAGACGACTACAAGGGGCACACAGCGACACACAAGCAAAGAGAGCTACGAGCAACAACATGCAGTACTACACGCGGCGGAGGGCTACATCGTGTACGGCTCCGCCCCCTCAGCCTCAAGCATGGAGCGCATGCACGCCGACATCGAAAGAAGAAGATGCGCTGACGCCTGAAGTGTCTCCACGGGGGTCCCGGCTTGAGCAGCCCCAACTAGATCCCCCACGTGGCGGGGGAAGGTACGCGCTAAGGGCGCTACCCCGGCGGGCGCTTCCGACACGGGTGCCAACGGCGACTCGAGCGATTCTGCCAAAGACACGCAGGATCCTCGGGATCCTGGACCGTAACTGCCCGGAAAACTCCGCGTGGCCCCACACACCACCAGCTGCAGGTTCGCCACCACCTCGCACGCCTCCACCAAATTCAGAATCCTGCACAGGGTCGGCGTGGGGTCTCTCCCCGCGCGAATGGGGGGAGGAACAGTCGGGGCGTCGCGGGGAAACGACGACGGCCAGCCCGGAGCCCGGCCAACAGAGAAGCGCGGAGAGGAGAACGGCGGGACCGGACGCGGTTGGCGGAACTGAACCCTCCCCTCCCGCGCGGGCAGATATTCGCGCAGCGTCGGCGCGCGCAGAGGGGCCGCCTGGCCAGGGTCCGAGTCGAGGGGGGGGCCGTTGGTTACTGCAATGTGCACGTGGGTCTCCTCCCCACTCGCCCGCGCCTGACGCACCACCTCCGCAAACGCGTTCGTGGCTCGAGCGAGAGCCGGATCCTGCCCACGCCCATTGCCGCCGCGCCCACCTCATTCCCCCGGCCGCGTCTGCCGCCAGAACCAGCCGAGCGCGGACGCGGAGGGGACTGCTCACAGCGACTCGAATCTCAGCGACGTCCAGGCGACCCCCTCCCCCGCGTCGCCGGAGATCGCCGGGGAGAGCGTTGCGCGGGGGATCGCGCTCGCGGTGAGCGCCGGCCTGGTCGACCTGGGGGAGATCGGCGATGAGGAGAGCGAGGGCTCGCAGGAGAGTGCTCACCATCTGCTCCACGACGGTGAGGCTCGCGCGGACCAGGAGAGCGCCGCCGTGGGGACTGCGGCTGCGGTGGCTGGCGCTGAGGCGTCCGCCCACGCTCGTCAGGCGGCGGGCCATCCTGTCGACTCGACGCAACACGCGCCGGCGCCTACGAATACTCTGGGGAGGTCGGGCGCGCATTCCCCTGATGCGGAAGAGAGAATCCACGCTCCAGGCGCCGCACAGGCTCCGACGCCGCCGGATGCGCAGGAACGCGGAGTCGAGGTGCGGCGGGCGGCTGAGGACGGGGCCCCGCGCTGTCCGCCGTACTCTCCTGCGCGCGGTCGCGACCCGCGGAGGGGTCCATCACGCCCGAACGAACAGCCGCGGACGCCAGCGGGCCGTCAAAGGAGGAGCCTCGGAACTGCCTCGGCGCCGCAACCGACGCGCGGCGAGGCGACGGCAGGCTCCGCGCGACGGGGAATCCGAGTTGGGAGAGGAGGAAGACGAGGCGGACGTAGGGGAGGCGCCGCGGTTCAGCGACGAGGTGTTAGTAGCTTCGCGAGGGCGGCTCACAGGATCCTGAGGGGAAGGGCTACAGAAGGGGAGGAGTCGAGTGACGAGAACTCTGGGGGTGACCCCCTATTTAACCCTGAAAGAGGGGAGTTCAAGTCCCTCACCCCAGGTGGACGAGGCAGAGCATCCACAAGACGGGGACCAAAATCCAACCCCAACCCGAGCCGCGTCTGCAATTCGAAGTGGGAGACAGAGCCGAGCCAGGGGGGGAAATCGAGCCGCACAAATTGCAGATGGCACCCCAGGCCCAGCCAATCAGCAGGGTGCGGAAATTTCTTCTCGCCAGCCACTGTTCAGTGCTGGCGACCTAGCGCAACGCCAGGACCTTTTCGCCGAAGTCGCTACATGGGACCTCGAACCCCTTCGCGACAGTAGGCAGCCACCGCTGGCTCGTCACCCACCCCGCACCCTTCGCGACATTTTCGCAGCATGCCTTCTCACCCCGCTGTTACAACACCTCGCGCACAACCCTGACTCACCTGCGGGCTGGAGACTCCTCATGTTCCTCCCGCGCATCCTCCTGCGCACCTCGTCAGCACGGCGCCCAGACTGGTCGGTGGTTGGCGCCAGGTTGACTCTGTTCCGCCAGGGCCTGTGGCGAGGCCTGTATAACGAAGCGACCGCCGCAGTCTCCGAGCCTCCCCAGCCACGCCATGCGCCAGACACCACTGGCATCCTGGCAAGGGCAGAGGGCCTGGCCAAACGAGGGAATTTAGCAAAATCCCTCCAATCCCTCACTGCCACGCCAGTTTCCCCCCCTTCCGCGGATGTGCTCCAGGCTCTCTCAGCCAGACACCCCTCCGCGCGCCTTGCCATTCCCGACTGGGTGCGGGACTTTTCCGCAGACACAGCCCCCACAATCCCTCCACGCGACTTCAGGCGCATCCTCGCCAAATGTCCGAACGGAGTGGGCGCTGGTCCCTCAGGCACCACCTTTGAGCATCTGAGGGACGCAGCCCTTGGAAACGCGGACATTTTCCAGCAGCTGCACGCACTCACGAACACCGCCTTAGCTGGCAAGCTCTGCACGGAGGCGGCTGAGCTCCTCACAGCGTCGCGCCTTCTCGCATTCATAAAGCCCCAGGGGGGTACACGTCCGATAGCAGTGGGAGAATGCCTGTTACGGCTGGTCGCCAAGGCGGCCCTATTCAGGGCGGCCGAGAAGGCGCGCGGCCACTTTGCGCCGATCCAATTCGGCGTTGCCATTTCGGGAGGCATCGAGGCAGCCGTACACACTGCGAGGACGTACCTGGAGGAGAAAGATGGGGCAGTGGCGCTGCAAATCGACCTGGCGAACGCCTTCAATGCGGTCGAGCGAGCGGCGGTCTTCGAAGGGCTCAAGGGGACCAGTCTGGAGTTCTTAGTGCCCCTGGTCCGGCTTACCTACGGCGTCCCCTCGGCGCTGCACCTCGACCACGAGTTTCACGCTCCCCCCCTGCAGTCCGCGCGCGGTGTACGCCAAGGGGACCCGCTGGGCCCACTCCTCTTCGCCGCCAGCATACACCCTTGCCTGGTAGCTGCGGCGGAAGCACATCCGGGAGTCGTCTTTCTCGCGTACGCTGACGACATTACTCTCCTGGGGGAGGCAGAGGCGTGCACGGAGGCTTTCACACACCTCACCACCGCCCTGCTTTCCCTTGGCCTGGAACACAACCCCGAGAAGTGCGCGGCGTGGTCGGCCGCGCACACTGACCCCACCTCCCTCCCACCGCACATACCTTTCTCGGCGGATGGGATCCGCGTCTTGGGGAGCCCAATCGGGCCGCAGGCAGGATGCGCGGCCTTGGTGCAGGAGCGCCTGTCGGCAGCAGCAGAGCCACTTCCGCTCCTCTCACAAATGGATCCGCAGCTGAGCCTGCTCCTCCTGACACGCTGCGTGAGCCGCCGCGCCTCGTACCTGGTTAGGACAACGCCCCTGGAGGTGCTGCCAGCAGACACTTGGTCGGCGTGGGGGGAGCAGCTGCTGCACACGTACCTGACCGCGCCACACACGGCGATACCACGGGACGGGGCGGAGCGGGGGAGGATCTGGAGGCAGGCCGCGCTACCCGTGACACTGGGCGGCCTAGGCATCACCAATCCAGCAACGGAAGGGGTGTTCGCTTACCTAGCCTCGGTCATCTCCTCCGCCCACCTGCTGCGCTCGTTCGGTGACATTTTGCACCCCGCAATAGACCAGCTGCTGCCGCTACTGGATGCAAACGCCGACTCACCCTCGGCCCTGCCACGGCGCCTCGCTGCGGCGGAGGCCACGCTGCCCCCTGAAGGGCTGGAGGCTCTACAGGCCGGCCGGCGCGGTACAGATGGCCTGAAGCTACAGCAGGCCTTGTCGCTGGCCGTTCACACCGCTCGCTACATCGAGGTGCTCGATGCCTCGCGGGAGATGCCTTTGAATCCGCTCTTCGGCCACACCCAACGCCTGCAATCACTCCTCGGCCCCGGGGCAGGAGATTGGCTGCTGGCCATCCCCCTGACCCCAGCTCTTCGCCTCGGCCCCCCGCAGCACGCCACCGCATCCTCCTTCCGGCTAGGCCTCCCCCTACCTGTCCCTCGGCGTGCGACTGCCGCCACCGCACAACCTTCCCGGACCACCGCCTCCCCAACCACCTAATGCGTTGCGAGAAAGGCGGCGGGAGAATTGCCACTCACCATGCTCTTCGTGATGAGTGCGCAAGGATTGCGGCGGAGGCGGGCTACACGGTGCACAAGGAATCCACAATTTACTCACTGGTCGAAAACCTGAAAGCGGATGTTTGCATCCGCCATCCCGACACCGGCGAGGTCCACATGTGCGACATCACCGTGACGGACCCTGTCTCTCACCAGGACGAATACGCACGTAAGGCACCGGGGTGGGGGGCTAGGATGCAAGCCGCGAAGAAGGAGGACAAGTACGCTCGACGGAACGCGTGGGTAGGCTTCCACGCCATGGCGGTCGAGACATACGGCTACCCCTCCCCGGGAGTACACGACTTCCTCCGCAGCTGTGCCGAGCTCGTAGGCAAGCGGCGGTTCAACGCAGCGCCAAAATCGAGGGAGGTGGCCAGGCTGCTCACGGAATACCGGCAGCGCTGGAGCGTCACACTCCAGCGCGCCCAGGCCAATGCCCTCCGCGACAAGACCCACGAGGCCTTCGCCGCGGACGAGCTCGGCCTGCAGGGACCGTTTGGCTGCCTAGGGGAGGAGCAGCTGTACCAACTGCTGGAAGACCCTACCGGCCAATAGGGTCGTGGGGAGAAGGGGCAGGCGATGGAGAAGTTGTAGTACTTACCTGTTTGTTGCTTGTTGAGTCTTGTTTGTTTGTTTAGATTAGCTTACGCTTAGTACCTCTGTGTGTTCTGCCTTGCTGATTAATACGAAGGACCATTCGAGAGAGAGAGAGAGAGAGAGAGAGAGAGAGAGAGAGAGAGAGAGAGAGAGAGAGAGAGAGAGAGAGAGAGAGAGAGAGAGAGAGAGAGAGAGAGAGAGAGAGACGGGAAGGGAGCGGCGAGAGAGAGAGCGCGACGGGAAGGGAGCGGCGAGAGAGAGCGCGCGCGACGGGAAGGGAGCGGAGAGAGAGAGAGAGAGAGAGAGAGAGAGAGAGAGAGAGAGAGAGAGAGAGAGAGAGAGAGAGAGAGAGAGAGAGAGAGCGCGACGGGAAGGGAGCGGCGAGAGAGAGAGCACGACGGGAAGGGAACTGCGAGAGACTTATATGGCGAGGTGGGTGAGCGAGAGGGGCCGAGGGTGAAGCGGAGGGTGACGATCGCGAAAGAGGGGAAATGAAGTTACGATACTAGGCGACGTAAGTACGTAGCGCATTTCAACTAAGTCGATAGTTATGAGCTTGGCTACTAAACGCCTGAGACGTAACTGAACTATTGACTTGGGGAATCGAGAGCAGGTGGTGACGAACCCAGCTCCAACTTGAAACCAGCGCTGGGCCCAACGATAGAAAGCATCGTTGGGCAACAGTCGTGCAGGTGCCGCACGTAGACGTGCGACGGAGTAAATCTGCATGAAACTTTGTTTTGGCGGGAACAAGATCGACAAGAGCCAATCACATCAGTCCAAGCTGCCAATTTTGTTTTGTTTAGTCGGCCTGATCCCTTTTTCTTCCTGAAACTCGTCCCTGCACTCTTTCAAGATGGGCCAGGGTTCACTATTTTGCAGTCTCGTTTTAAGCGAAGCATCCCATAGTCATCACCATCCCCGTCATCGTCATTGGATGCAGGTGTATCGTCCATATCCAGATTATACTCGATAGTAGGCACCAGGTGCGACATCAACTCAAGGAACGCGAAGAGGTAACTGCGGATACCACGACTCGCAAGGACAAGACAAAATAATCCGTATATTTGTTAGATACTAGGATCAAGGACGGGGATGGTTCATGTGAAACAAAACTGGTGAATGAAGTGAGGGGCACATACTGGTAAGCATGTACCAGTAGCTTCCAGCCACGGGTTTCACAGGGTCCAAAATAGACCGGGCCCCAGGGAACATGATAGGACGGTTGTGCATGCAGAAGGAAAGAGACAAAACGGGAAAATAGTGTTCTGAGACGTCTCAAAACAAACATGTGATCTCGAAGCAATGGGCACATACTGTTCAACGCGTAGCTTTAGTCCACAGGCTACTGCGGGTCCGAATAGCTTCCTCATCCCCGCTGCATGCTTGCGCGGGTGCACTGCTGCGCACTTTACTAGAAGGTGCGGATGGTCTTCAATGGTAACCTGCATGCAGCAAACAGGCATGCATCACATCACATCGCATCATGAATCCATGCAGGCAAATTTGCATGATTTTGACTCATGAATAAATAGGTCATGACTGATTTCATGCACTTGGGAGTAGTTAAAACATCCCTCAAGACATTCGCTTTGCTGCCACGACACACATAATCTCACCGCTGCCTCCATTTCATTACAATCACACTCACCGATTTGCCCACATACTGTAAAATCACATCCTCAAACATTCTCTCTGCTTCCAGGGGCTGCCGTTGCTGCAGTGGTGGGAACCATGGGAAGCAATTGGAGTGGGTTATGATAAAAATGTCATGGGAAGAAAGCAGGGTGGGATTCACATCATTATCAGACACTCTCTCTGCTTCCAGAGGCTGCCCTTGCTGCATCGATGGGAGCAAAAATATGAAAGCTGGGAACGGGGTGGACAAAAGTGCCGAAAGGAGGAAAATGGGAAGGTAACCCTCATAACGTACAGGTGAGTTTTGTAAAGCTCATGAAACCTGGTCACTATAATATAAGGAGAGCTCATAAGCTGAAGCCTTTCGCTTTGTGAAAGCTCAACATACCTCGTCGTAGCCAGATAGCCAGATTTTTGGAGTCTGGTAGTACTTGTCATATCTGGACGCGGATTGGATAGAAGCACACGTGGAGTTGAGCACACAAGGGAATGGAACGAAAAAAGGAGGAGGAAGTGAGTGAGGAGTTTTCAAGAGACCAAACTGTCAGACCATGATTTGAGAACAAAGATTAGAGAAGAAACGAACCAGATGACCACCTCACGGATCACGGCTTGGTCTGCTCTCAAGAACAAAACTCTGAGAGAAAACAGGAAAACCCCCGAAAAGACAGGATCATGCATGGATAGTGAGACGGAGCGGGCTAACACACGTGGTGCTGACGTCATAGGTGCGAGTTTGCTGATTGTGCTCCTCCTTTGACTCTGTCGCCATTGCATACCCCCTCTCCGCTGCTTGCCTCTTCCCCGCTGCTCCCTCTCCCCCGCGCTCCATTGCCCCAGCTGTTTGTGCCGTGGCTTTAATCGTCTTGGAGAGTGAGTTTTGCTGCTCTGATGACCCTGCTGCTGCTTCTTCGACTGAGAGCAGGTGACACAAGGAATGAATGGACAGGGGGAGATGGTGAAACGAGGATGATGGCCGGTAACGCCAGAGAAGGTGGACGTTTAAGGGAGCCAAGCCAGCAAAAACAGTCAAGAAAAGTACCAAAAAAGAAGAAGAAGAGAAAAAGAGAACGAGCATGGCAAGGCAGTATAAGCTTACGAGCATCACCCAAGTCCACCCACGGCTCCTCATCGTCCAATGGCGCCCTGCCACCTGTCAACAGCAGCACGTCCTTCTTCTCCATTGGCCCCACTCGCTTGAGACAGGGGACTGCGAGAGGGGAGGGGGAGAGGGGGAAGAGGGGGAAGAAGGGGAAGAGTTACAGATTCTTGCTCATCAGGTTGGGACAAGAAATCCTAACATCATTGAAACCATGAAAACGAGTTAACAGAGTGGCTACCGTTGTAGAAACCATGAAAAAGGATCATCCAAAGCGGCTACCATCATCTCTCTGCCAAAGCAAACGGGAAGGGGAGAAGCCGTATTACCTGGAGAAAACATTTAATGAATAGCAAGCGCTAATATTCGGTCTTGTCAAGCCAATATAGATGCTACCCTACCGTTGCGAGTGATGAGAAACTGCTTGTCAGCAGGCAGGAAGCTTCGTCGCCGAGAGGGGTCCGCTCCTTCCCTGACAGGCGAAGGAGGGGAGGAGCACGAGAAGGGAAAACAAGGAGGAAAGGAAACAGAGGGTGGAGGGGGCAGAAATACATGCACGTGCACTCTACAAACCCCTCCTACCTCATGCAGAAACAAGTACTCAAGAGTCAGTCACAGTCCACGCAGGAGAATAAAACACCGCATCTGTCACGCAATCTGTCTCACCAGGCCCACGTGGGACACGTGGCAACCAAATTGCCCCAGCCGCTACGAACTCATCCGCCACGAAGGCACCTGTCTACACAAAAAGTTTCGCCAAGGAATCAGGAGTCAGGGAATCTCACCAGGGCCACGTGGGACACGTGGCTTCAAGATTGTTCCCACGTGCGACGATTACGTTGGGCATTATAGAAAGTCTTCTTCACAAAGCAATCCCGAATTGTTCCCTGCGGGCCGCAGGGCATCAGACGTCAGAGCAACTCACCAGGACCAAGTGGGGAATTTCGCCACCAGAAAGTCGCCAGTCGCTACAAATTCGTCCGGCGTGAGCACGCCTTTTTCCGCGAAGGACGTCGCGCTGCGAGCCGGTAGCAGCCGCTTCGCCGTGCTCTTACAAGCCTTGTGGATGCGGTGCCGCAGCCCCGTGACGTCCATTGCCGCGTAGGCTTTGTCTGTATAAAGTGAAATCTAGGCACGAGGAAGCGGATAGAATTTCAACGGAAGCGATGGAGTCCCGATCCTGACTACACGTATAGTAAGGGCGCTTTTGGGTTCAAGATCGGGACTAAGACGATTTGTCCGAAAGCGTCGCGTGATGGATTGGAAGCTGCGATGCTCAAGACACTTCGTGACGACTAGAAGAAACTCGGTCAAATCCAAATCGAGGTCTCGGCGTTTACTCGAGTAACGAGCCCTGTCGACAAGGTAACCCTCTCTTCGCATGCCCTCGCTCCCCATCCTCCCCACCATTCAGCCCAGGCCATCGCGACTGTGCTGCTACCTTGTGACGAGTCTCGTTGACTCCACACAACTCCCGTCGACTCGACAGAACACGTCATGATGCAGCCGAGAAACATCTCGCAGGAAGGGTTTCACGTCAACGTCTGGCATGTGACGTGAACGTCTCGTGGACAGTGAAATGTCGACTTCCTAAATAGCGACCCCTCGAATCGCTCGCATTTGCGAGTCCAGCTAATTCGCGACATCCCATGCCGCGCTCCGTGGACGTTACAAGAGCGAAAGGCGGCTCCTGTCCGGCAATGACGAATTCGACAGTGATGGATTTGATGGATTGCAGAATTATGTATGACAAGGCTGGCGGGTTGGCGAGAATGCTGCATCAGTGTACGTTCTACAAGCTGCTCCGAAGACAAATTGTGGTGTACTCATCATAAGGTTCAAGTACAATATTCCACCACCACCACAACATACCCTACACATGCCTAGGCCTCAATTTGCCAATCAGATTAGACATTACTTGTCCTTTTTATAATCCTGCCAGTGTCCTCCACATGATTGCTGCATTAGTCGCTTCCCAGCAAACCCCATTTTACATCTTACCGTGTTCCAGTCTCCCCATTACCACCACTACCCTCTACTATTGTCACTGCTTTCACACCACCTGCTATTTCACTCTCATGACATTTATCATCACCACTACCCTCAACTTTCTTTTCTTCATCATCACTGTTCTTGTCATCGCCCTCATGCGCGCCTAGTGTACCGCCCATATCGAAATCAATGGTGTAGTCGTACTCGATAGTAGGCACCAGCGACGAGATGAACTTGAGGAATATAAAGAGGTACCTGCAAACACCGTTACACATTGGCTCAGAATTACAGAAAAAAACTTCAACCCTGCTTAGACAACACGCGAGACGGCGGTGCATGAAGAAGAAAACAAGCAATGAAAGACGTGAGAGGCACGTACTGGTCGACACGCGGCTGCACGCAATTGGCTGCCATGATTCCGATGATCTTCTTCATCACCGCTGCATGCTTGCATGGGTGCACCGATGCGTACTTTCCTGGAAGGTGCGGATGGTCGTCAATGGTGACCTGTATGCAACGAAACAGTCATGCGTCACATTACATAACATCACATAGCATTTAATCGCACCAAAATTGTATTCATAAATTACGGGATGCCCGTATGGCCATCACACGCACATGCTTCCTAACCTCATCCCAACCCACCATACTCACTGTTACCATCACCCCATTATAGTCACACTCACTGTTTTCTTCACATGGTCTTGGCTCACATCCTCAAACACTCGCTCTGCTGCCAGGGGCTGCCGTTGCTGCAGATGAGGAAATAACATGCGGATGAGAGACAGGGAAAGGTAGGTGGCAGTTGCCCAGAAAGGCTGGGGACTGAGAACAATAATTAAACTATGCAATCCGATTCAAGATAAGAAGGAATGACACAACGAAATTAACAAAACAGATCAACTATAGTAACGAGGACAGTAACACGAATCTAGGTTCATAGGAGTTCCACATACCTCATCATAACCAAAAAGCCAGATTCTTGGAGTTTGATAGTACTTGTCGTATCTGAGTAGCACACACACACACACACAAACACACACACACATGGGATTGGATGGAGCAACACGGAGGCTACGATGTAAGAGATTCACTTAGAGACCTTTCAACAGTGCGCTGCTAGGTGCAAGTCAGCAGAGGTGACAGAAAAAGACTGAAGCACAGCGAACTTACGTGATGGTGAGGTCGTAGGTGCGGGTCTGCAGAATATGGTCGTCCTCTGGCTCTGTTGCAACTAGATACCCCCCTCCCCCAAGCTGTAGTGCCGCCTGTAGCAGAGACGCAATTACAAGGAGGTAGGGAGGGAGAGGAAGAGGGGGGTGGAACAAGGGATTACTTGGGACAGCAGAATATGGTCGTCCTATGGCTCTGTTGCAACTAGATACTCCCCTCCCCCAAGCTGTAGCGCCGCCTGTAGCACCAGCAAAGACAGGGGAATGGAGGGGAAGAGGAGAGGGGGGGGGGACGGTTTAGTGGACGGAGCTAGGGTAACATCCAGACGACCCTGGGACCTGGTATGGTAACATAACAACCTTCTACTGTGCTGCAACAAATTTAAGATTGCTCTTGAATTGACTCGGGGTTGGAGGGGTGCTGGGTATAGAAGAACGGAGGGGGGAAAGTGGGGAAGAGCATGGGAGACGGTGGGGGTGGGGTGTAGACACACAGCCACAGGCACTCACAGGGTCAGCATCGAGAACATTATCCACATCATCGAATTCCGCTATATCAGGTACGTCCTCCTCCTCTTCATCTCCCCCCGTTGCTCCTCCAGCCCTCTTTTCCCCTGCTCCCGCTCCCCCGCCCTCCCCTCCCAAGGCTGCTGGGGTCGCTGCTGCCTCAATTGAGGGAAGCGAGTCCTGTTGCTGCTCTGCTGACCCTGCACCTGCTGCTTGGTGGATGCATAGAGGAGAGGAATGGGAGACACACGGAGAAAGTGACATGAAGAGAAGGTCAAGGGCAGTCATGTGAGTCAAGTGAGTCAACGCAAAGTCAATGCAATCATGGCGGTCAAAGCAAGTCAATGCAGTCAGAGCAACCATGCCAGGCAAGCTTACCAGCGCCGCCGAGCTTTGACGTGGCGACCCAGGGCTCGTTGCCATCCCCGTCCACGTCAGCATCGACCAATGTCTCGCTGCCACCTGTCGCCAGCAGCACCTCCTCCTCCATCGCCCCCACTCGCCTCAGACAGGGGACTGCACAGGGAGTAGGAAGGCAAAGGAAAATTAGAAAAGGAGCGGTGTGGTGAGTGCAGTGAGTGGAAAGGGAGGAATGTGGGAGGACACCGTTGCTAGCGCTAGTAACGAGGTCAGCCATACAAGACTGTCATTCTTTAGTCAACTCATACGTCAGCTCAGAGCCTGCTTGCCGGCAGCCATACAAGGCCTGTCAAGTCGATCCATGCAAGCCTACCATTGCGAGTGATGAGGTACTGCTTGACAGGAGGCAAGAAGCTGCTGAGAAGCTACCATGAAATTGATACAGCCTACCGTTGCGAGTGATGAGGTACTGCTTGTCAGCAGGCAGGAAACTTCGTCGGCGAGAGGGGTCCGCTCCTTCCCTGACAGAGGAAAGATGAGAGCGGGGGGGAAGCACCAGAAGGATCTTATAGCGATCAACGAATCATCGAATCAGCAAATTAGCGATCAGCGACCTCAAGCGCCACGTCAGACAAGCTGACAAGGCCCAAGTGGGACCATTAAGCACCACGTGAGAACACCAGCAGACTCACCAGGACCACGTGGGACATTTTGCTACCAAATTGTCGCCAGCTGCCACGAATTCGCTTAAAAACGCCTTTCTCCGCAGATTTTTTTTCCAGGAATCAGACGTCAGTGTATGAAGCGTCAGGGCATCTCACCAGGACCACGTGGGACATTTTGCCACCAGATTGTCGCCAGCGGCGACGCATTCGTCGGGCGTGAGGACGCCTACCGCGAAGGCCGTGGCGCTGCAGAAGGTTCTATAAACCAACCGAAGGAATTAGACAAGTGTGACGTCAGCAGCAAGCTCACCAGGACCACGTGGGACATTTGGCCACCAAGTTATCCCCAGCCGCGACGAATTCGTCCGGCGTGAGGACGCCTTTCTCCGCGAAGGCCGTCGCGCTGCGCGCCGATAGCAGCAGCTCCGCCGTGCTCTTATACGCCTCGTGGATGCGGTGTCGCAGCCCCGTGACGTCCATTGCCGCGAAATACGGAGACGACAAAAACGTTTCGCGTGGCTGCAAGTCAAGTATTAGCAATAAAAACGCCTCGTGGGTTCTATATCTAAGACGAGGGACTCTATAGCGAGGATAGCAGCAGATTCGCGCTACTGTCGAACGCCTTGTGGATGCTGTGCTCGAGACACGGAGCGCCGATCATGGCGATACTTAGGCTGTACGATTACTGCGGCTACAATTATCCCATCAGGAACATCGTAACGCAAGCAGGCGACAAAAGGACCCTGGACTCTGGTGAGGAGGTGGGTTACAAAGTACAACAAGCACTTGCTTGATTTGAAAAAACAGCTTGGACAAATAGTTACAACAAGATAAGGCTCTCGAAACCTATACTGACGAGTATCTCTAGACTTGGGGAATCGATACGGGGAATGCTCGCCGACACGACAGGAGTAAGGCTAGGAGGGGAAAGACAAATTCTAGAACTGGCTACTTTTGAATGATTTCGTCGAAACCAGGAAATACCGTGGCAAGGGGGTAATCCCAAGGTCAACCTGGGTCAGAAGAGCCTGTTCATTGTGAAGGGTTATTTTGAAGGATCGCCCCAGTTGCGGGAATATGTCGGAGGTTGCTTTTCATACGAACCAAAAGATCCCGGAAATGAAACTTAGCACCAGCTCAGCTGAGCCCCTAACCAGCAGTACACGTAGAAATCGATCTGTTCATCTCGAGTGACGGTTCGTTTAACAACAGCAAGAACGTACAGCCGTGTGACGTTTCGCTCGCGTATCCAGAACCGCTTGCGAAACTTTCGCAAGGCTGCTCAACCATCCCTTCCCAAATTTAGGATCCAGGCTGCAGACCGGAGTTCGAAACCCGGCTGACCCATACTCACAGACATTTCATACCGCCACTGCCACACAGCGACAGTGCGTGTAGCATTCAGTATCAACTAGTTGAGTTACTACCTCTTCAGGTGCACGTCGTCACGTAAGAATTAATGTCGTATCCGCGCGCGCAGTTCGTGTACTTTTTAGACACCAGTTACACCCATCGACTGCTTGCAATAGGTGACGCGTTATAAGTTTGAAGCGACCGACCATGCTCGCGAGGGGGGAGGGCTCGAACGTTGCACGCGCGGACACGGAAGGGAATGCGGAGGGAAAGGCGGAAGTGGAGACGGAACGAGTAGCGAAAGGGGAGGCGGAAGGGGAGAGCGCTATTGAGGTGGCCCCTCACCGGGAGGGGAACGGCGGAGGCGGTAAGCAGGGGGAAGGGGTGAATAGCGGGAACGCGCGCAGCGGAAGCGGGGGAGAGAAAGAGGGGAGAATTGAGCGTCGCAGGGTTGAGGGTTTGGGGGGAGAGGGGAAGACGGAAGAGGAGGAATTGGCGGAAGAGAGAAGGCGGACTCTATTTCGCAAAGGGGGGAAGGCGGAAGCATTTGCGCGGACAGGGGGGAGCGCTGGGGGAGATACTGGGAAAGGCAAAGGAGGAAAGCAACAGGGGGAGGCGGGATCAGGAGACGCGGGGGAAGCAGGGGATCGGGGTGGAGGTGGGGGAAGGGGGGATAATGGGAAGGGGGAGAGCGTGGGGGTGACGCTGTTGGGGGTGTTGGAGAGGGGTCAAGGCAAGGGGAAAGGGGGAAAGGGGAGAGGGGAGGGGGATGGGGAGGAGGAGGAGGAAGAGGAGGAGAGGATGGAGCGACAGCAGCTGGAGGAATTGTACCGGCACCTGAGGCAGCCCAGGGTGGTCCTCAGGTGAGAAAAACAGAGGCGGATGCTGGCACTGATGCAAATGGGGGGAATATGTATGGATTAGCCTGCATCTCAATGCAACCGTTTTCACTTGCACATTTTTTCTGCGCATACACAATTCCGTGCATGTGCAAGTGGTTTTTGAGAATTCTCAAAAGCCAATTCCATGCGCACATCCATGTTCCGTCCTGTCATGTGCCATGGCATGTCCTGTCCATGAGTGCAGAAAAGAAGCATCAATTGCGCAGTGGACAGCGCAGGGATGCATTGAGGCAGGGGAGAGCAGGGAGCATCACCACCATCACCACCCCGCCACTCACAACCCCTCTCTCTGCGCCACAGCCAATCCTTCAGTGTGTGTGGCGGAGGTGCTGTTGCAGCGGGGCAAGTGGTGGGGCAGCACGGGGATTGTCCGGCAGCAAAGGCTCTTCTGCCATGTTGAAGAAGCACTGTAAGGCACCGCCTAGAGGACGATAAATCCGTGTAAGGTATTTGTAGGCCCCAATGCTTAAGGGTGGTATGTGGTGGGGCAGCACGGGCATAGTCAGGCAGCAACGGCTCTTGTGTCACATTGAGGAGGCACTGTAAGGCACTTATGTATCCAACCCCCCTTTCAAGCTCTTCACTACCCCTCCTCAGCTGCTCCCCTTTCTCCTTCCCTCCTTCCCCACACCTCCTCCACTCCCGTTTCCCTCCTCAAATAACGCCTCTTTTTTACAGGTTCCTAATGGAAAAAGGATATCTGCTCCTCCTCTCCCCCTCCTGCTGCCCCGTCCCCATCCAAAGCCTATATCACGCGCTGCACTCCCCTCCCTTCGGCTCCTCACTTCCTCTTCTCCTTGCCCCATCTTCCCCATACCCACAGGTTCCTAATGGAAAAAAGGCTCTCTACTCCTCCTCTCCCCATCCGACTGCCCCGTTCCCATCCAAGCCCTATATCACGCCCTGCACTCCCGTCTCCTTGGCTGCTCCCTCAACGCCTACCCTCCCTTTCCCACACCTCCCTCCCTCCCATGACACCACCTCTTTTCAGGTTTCTAATGGAAAAGGGGTCGCTCCTCCTCCTCTCCCCGTCCGGCTGCCCCGTCCCCGTCCAAAGCCTTTATCGCGCGTTGCACTCCACTCTCCTCTTCTCCCCACCTCCTTCTCTCCTTGCCCCATTTCCTTACAGGTTCCTAATGGAAAAAGGCTCTCTCTCTGCTTCTCCTCTCCCCATCCGCCTGCCCCATCCCCATCCAAAGCCTTTAACGCGCGTTGCACTCCCCTCTCGTCTTCTCCCCGCCTCCTTCTCTCCTTGCCCCATTTCCTTACAGGTTTCTTATGGAGAAAGGTTCTTTGCTCCTCCTCTCCCCATCCGGCTGCCCCGTCCCCATCCAAAGCCTATATCACGCACTGCACTCCCCGATCCTCGGTTGCTCCCTCAACGCCTACCTAGCCTACGCGCACCTGCGCAGGCTCGGGTTCATTCTGGCTCGGCACGGCGTGCCCTGGACCGGAACCGGACGAGCAGGCTCGGCAGCCAGGGAGAAACCAACGGAGGGTTCAAATTTGTGTGGGAAAGGGGAAGAGACGAAGGAGACAGAGACGTGTCAGGGAGGGAAGCAGGGAATGGGAACAGAAAGAAGAGGTGGGGGAGGGAAGCAGGAGGAGGAGACAAGAACGTACATAGTTGAGGCTGATTTACCAACTGGAGGAGAAAAAAATTTAGAGGAGGGCTTAAAGCCCATGTTCGATGTCTTCTACCCCAATGCACGGTTCAAAAAGTCCCTGCCTGGCCCTCCGGACTTCCTGCTCTCTGTTGTTGACTCGAGGTGAGCTCTCTCCCTCTCGCTCTCTCCCTCTTTCTCCCCCTCCCCCTCCCCCTCCCCCTCCCCCACGCCTCCTCCTCTCCCCCTGTCCACCAGTAGTTTTCTCCCTACCAGAACCCGCATACCATATATCTGCCATTGGTTCAGATTGATATCACTCCTCTCCCCAGGTGCATGTGTGATGTTTCCACACCTTAACTGTCTGTGACCCACTTGCAGCTCACCCTTCCCATCCTTATTGGACCTGAAACGGCTTCTAGAACACTCTTGCGCTGGTTCAGAGCAAGGGAGCAGCACAGCACATTTCACAGGCTTAGGGGAAGCAGGCATGAATGAAGCAGCAGCGTCGGGCGGTGGCTATGACCCAGCAGCAGCAGCATGCGCAAGTGGGAGGAACGCAAATGTAGAGGTGCCAGTTGCTGCAGTGCCTGTCAAAATAGCTTGTGTTAGGGATGGTTATGTTACCATCTTTGACATCACTGCTGTTACACTACCATTGCTGAGTTGAATTTTATTCTCACCGCAACATCTACTCTACGCCCACTGGCTACAGGCTTTCATATTGCTACCTGCAAGTAAAAGTACCATTGTTAGAAATGAATATTCACTAGATCTGCTGTTCCTAAAAAGAAGGGAGTATAATCAGCTTCTTGCAGTACAAACACAAAAGCCTATGGAAACCCAGCTCCAAAAATCAGAATATTGACCCATTGCCACTGCTTTTGCTGTATTCATGCTTGCATGATCTACATTTAAAAAGGATCGTCTTGTAACGGCGGCCCATACGAGCACTGAGGCATGAAAGTGCAAGAACAGGGTGCATGCACATGCGGCCCGTGCTGCCAGCAGCAGCCGGAGCACATGCATGCGTATGCTCATACCCATGCTGCTCGGCCACTCGCATGGCTCTTAGTCGCACTTGATGTTGCGGTAGATGCGCCGCACAAACATGGACGATCCCAGGTAACCGATGGCACCTGTGGGGGAGAAATGGGGGGAGGTGGGAAGGATGGAGGGAGGGTCAGACGGGGTGGGACAGGGAATAAATATTCAATTCAGCATGGCTCTCTTAGTCGCATTTAGATGTGGTAGATGCGCCGCACAAACATGGACGATCCCAGGTAGCGAATGGCACCTGCAGTGGGAGGGAGTAGTGGACGGGGTGGGGCGAGGGGTAAATGAGAACTCTGGTCACTCGCATGGCTCTTAGTCGCACTTGATGTTGCGGTAGATGCGCCGCACAAACATGGACGATCCCAGGTAGCCGATGGCACCTGTGGAGGGAAATAGGTGTAGGGTTGGGAAGGGAAGTTGAGGGAACGAGGGAGAGAGGGCGGGTAGGAGAGGGTGGGACAGGGAATAGATCATCAACTCAGCATAGCTCTCAGACACTAAATTGGCAGCAGATACGCCGCACAAACATAAGGAACCCAAGTAGCCGATGGCACCTGCAGTGGGA